CACTTTATTAGGTACACCTGTCCAACTGCTCATTAACACAATTTTGTAATCAGCCAAACAAATGGCAGCAATTCAATGCATTTATGGTCAAGACAATCTGCTGCAGTTCAAAACAAGCATTAGAATGGGGAAGAAAGGTGATTTAAGCAGGCACATGCACACATAGGGCTCAACCTGTGCAGTGCACATGCCCTTTTTAGTCTTGGAAAGAAATTGCCCTTCCAAAACGATCAAAAGTGCCCCCGCGACACCCCCCTCCCCCCTACCGCCCGCGACAACACCGCTGATCAGAACGCGAGAAGGGTCCGGAAAAGAGAAAATATCCAGCGAGCGGCAGTTCTGTGGGCACAAATGCCTTGTTGATGCCAGAGGTCAGAGGAGAATGGTCAGACTGGTTTGAGGTGATAGAAAGGCAACAGCAACTTGTTATAGCCGAGGTATGCAGAAGAGCATCTCTGAATACACAACACGTCCAACCTTGAGGCGGATGGGCTACAGCAGCAGAAGACCACACCGAATGCCACTCCTGTCAGCCGAGAACAGAAATCTGAAGCTACAATTCGCACAGACTTCGCAAAATTGGACAATAGAAGATTGAAAAAACGTTGCCTGGTCTGAGGAGTATCGATTTCTGCTGCCACATTTGGATGGTAGACTTTTCTGAGAATTTGGTGTCAACAACATGAAAGCATCCTTGGGTTGTGGCAGAAAGGAAGATTCGCATCATGGATGTGCAGCTGACAAATCTGCAGCAACTGCGTGATGCTATCATGTCAATATAGACCAAAATCTCTGAGGAATATTCCCAGTACCTATGCCACGAAGGATTAATGCAGTTCTGAAGACTAAAGGGGGTCCAACCCAGTACCAGTAAGATATACCAAATAAAGTGGCCGGTGAGTGTACTTTCAGAACACTAATTAACTCAATTACTTAAAGTATGCAGGAAATCAAAATGTATAATGTTTATTTTGCATGTGCACATTGTTATTTTTTAGGTAAACAATAATTCTGTGCCACTGAAAAAAAAAAAGTTTGTTTTGGTAATCTTTAATCAAAGTCTGAACATTTTCTTCTGCGTTTGGAGGGTCAGTTCATCTCTGTTTATGTCAGTTTGACAGCTTCAGACACAATCTTCTTAACTACGTCCCTCTTACAGTTGTTATGAAGGAATGACATGTGAAAAGGAAAGCCTCGTCCCTACTTAATATTCCATTTCAGTTGGAAGGACATCAACACACTGAAATAAGAGTCTCAGCAATTTCCGGTTCTTTAAGATACATTAAATATTCCCGTACAGTAAGGTACCATTTGCAAGAAAAACAAGGTCATGCTTTAATGTCCACACAACTATAGCATCTTCAAGAGTTTTGAAATACGAGTATGAGTGCAAATGGTCATCATGTTGACGAAGATCATTTCATCTAAATACATTAAAAACACCACAGATATGCTGCTTGTCATATTGGTGTCACATTGAAACGCATGTAAAATAAGGGTAGCATTATTTTCATGTGAGATAAAAATAAAGCACAATGGAATATCGGTTGTCTATGGATTATTTGTAGCACAATCTTACTTTAAATTAACCTGTGTGTTTCAGGGTGAAGTTGCCCAACATACAGAAAAATGGAGAATGACACAGATAAATAATTGTAGAAAATGTTTATCATTGTTGTTATTATTTCTTACACTAATCTTTTGTGGCTCCTTCAGGCTTCAGCTCACCTCTCAACTTCTTCCAGTATGGATCTTCCTGTCTAGCTACTTATTTATGGAGTTCAGCCAATGTTGGGGTAGAGTTACAGTGTTTTTTCTGTACTGTACATTTATTATTATGTGACTTTTGGACTTAATTTTTCCGAAAGGCATATTTTGCTCTGCTTCTGTTGTCCTGACTGGTATATTTCACAACTAATATCACAATTTTACATGGAATGTTTTTGTCTCTGAGATGTTCAGAGAAGTTCAGAGGTGTAATGATGTGTAAATATAATTTAAATGACAATGTATACAATAAACAAAAGGTTATAAAATACATTTTGGTGGCACTTTACAATAAAAATACCTGAATAACGATATATTAATATGTAATCTAAACATGACTTGATTATGAACTAACTATGAATAATGCATGTTCATGAACTAACTTTTACTACAACATGAGTCATTTGTGAATAATGGCTACCTTAAATACTTGTTAGTACATGATTGTTTGTTAATTAATGTATTAATTACCACACTTATGCTTGATTTAACCATCATCACCTCATGGTATGTTAATGTATAATTATATCATGACTTTACTTGGATGGGTACATGGTCATTAACCCACTCTTAACTACTCATAAGCTTCTTATGCACGTTTGTCTAGTGCGTTTACACTGAATAACAATAGAAACGTGTTCAGTCAATATCAACAGTTTAAACACAAGAGCTCATGAGTAGTTAAGAATGAGTTAATGATGCCCCTCCAAGTAAAGTCATGACATAATTATACATTACCAGCTTATGACTTTGTGTTGGTTACATTTAGCTTAATAATGCATTAATTAACGACATGTACATGTATAAGTCATGTATAAGTAATTAAGGTGCCTTTATTCCAATTAAGTCACGTTGTAGTTAAAGTTAGTTTATGATTAGCGCATACATTAACTCATCATTAATTCATAATAAAGTAACGTTTAGTTTACATATTCATACAGCATTATTCATGTATTGTTATTGTAAAGCGTTACCGACATTTTTATATAAACACACACACAAATTAAGGAGTGACCCTGGACCACTACACTATTTGAAATGGATAGCATCTGAATCTGGAAGGTTTGAAATAGGAGGGTTCTAAAAAAATAAAATATTTACAATATAATATAAAAATATATCTATTAAGCGTAGGAATCGCCTTTAAAGTAAAAGCAAATTAAGTTATATCCAATGGACTTTATATGAAAAGTTGTTAAAGTTTTGATGTTGTAGGATATTTGTGCAATATTTTAAGCATGGTATTTAGTTAATATTGAATGATTTTAGCATGAAAAAATCATCAATGCAATGTTTTTTTGACTATAGGCTGTTTTCACATGACGTCATTGATGACTCGCGAAATTCAGATGAAGGGCAGAAAGTGTTTTTTATAGGAATCGCTGTCAGAACATTAAAAATGTTTGTTTTATGTTGTTCGTATTTGTTTAATCGGCCAAAATAAAAAATGCCAAACAGCTTTTATAGACTTCCAAAAGTTTCTCCTGATTAAGAGCGAAAGTTCAAGAAACTGGCTGAAAAACCGGAAGGCGGCATGTACATTGAAAACCATTGGAATGACAAATAAATGATTTTTACATTTTAAATATTGTTGTTATAGCTATAAACAAACTGAATTTATGTTGTTGCAGTGATCTAATTTTATCTTTAGGACAAATTTGTCTATTTGAATTTTGTTGCAGTTATGCTCATTATTGGTGAATAAATTGGTAAAACATTGTTTTGCATTTATGACTGATCATTTGAATTACAGCACTGTTCAAAATGTATAATTTTTTGGAACTTTCCACAATATTTATGAAGAGTTCCATATTAAATATTAGCTCAAGAAAATAGAGAAAATCTACTATAAACCTACATCAAAAAACACTTGAATTATAGGAAATTTCTATAATATTACATCTGTTATTTTCGGCATCTGGGATTGACGTCATTCTCAGCCAGTGACGTCGCGTTCTAAACATTTGATCTGCATTCTTATACAGCTCCTCAGTTCTCTCTCAGTTTTACTGTTTCTACTTGACCAAGGTGAGTTCAATACACGAAGCCGGCTTTGTGAAGATTTACACTCGGGCACAGGGTGTATAGAATATAGGGTGAGGCTGATTAGGTTTGGCTAACAGCACCGCCTGGTGTTCAAACGTATACGATGCACTAAAAATGCAGTTATGGAAAGATTCCTCACTGAGACAAACATGTTCGCTATAGACTGGGACCGGGTTTAACCCTTTTGACAAAGGCAAGATTCTAGCCATATGTGTTGTTCTTAGATAAGAAGAATATTTTGTTGTATTTAAAATGTACCGTTACTACGATGTGGAACTACGACTGTACTCTTTTCTCTGAAGGGACAGTTCACCCAAAAATGAAAACGGACATTAGTTCACACTCAAGTGATTGTAAAAGGTTATCAATTTTTTTTTTTATTCACTCATTCTGAAGAACATTGAAAAAAGGACCCATTGACATCTATAGTAAGAATTAAAAGAACACAGCTGAAAGTCAATGGCTGTGTTTTTCCAACGTTATTTCAGTATGTCTTCAACAAAGAAAAAAAAAATCTCAGACAGGTTGGTAACAAATAAAGGATAAATAAATGACAGAATTTTCATTTTTGGCTGAACTATCCCTTTAATAAGTGCGAATTATACATTGACGATCGGGAGAGTCAACCTTTTCCGCAGGTTTGTGTTGGTTTCTGTAATACATGCTTCAATGAGAATGTATGCATTTACAATTACACCTAATATATCAATAAAACCTTTTGAAGTGGTTAGTGTTTTGAGGGATATTTAGTGTATCCTAACCTACCTCTGATTAGCTATTTTAGAGGTTACTGTAGGTCAAACTCTGCATCTAATTTTACTTTACTTTTAAGGTATATGTAGATACAAACCTATTTTACAGGAAATAAAGTCTCTAGGTCCTCTTGATCTGCAGTTTCAGACTGTTGAATGGCTTCTCGCACAGACTGATTGGCGAAATTATGCATCGAAAAAAAACCATTATGGGGTGGTCAAAAGTATATTTACATTTTAATATTTTCAATTATTGACATTATTTAAGATACAGATCAGAGCAAACTATTTAAACAGTTTTGATTTCCTTTAGGGAGGATCAAGCCTTAATTAATTTGGTCAGAACCCCCCTAACCCTCCTGTAACTCGCACCCTGCCTTTAATACTCTGATATACTTCAAAAACACGGTCAAAACAGAAACTCTGAAGCCGAAATAATTCTGAGATGCCTTTATTGTGCATTTTGTAAATCCAGTGACACTGACACAGTACAGAATCCTACACCCTATTCTCCCCCATTCCTCCTGACTAGAAGTACCTTAATCCTGTTTGCAATCTAAATTTAAACAGAGGAAAAACGGAAAGAGAAATAACTGGCTGCGTTTACCACAAATAGCATGCATTCTGGGGTGTGTAGGGGGATAAAGGGGGTGACGTTCACACAGCTAAAAACAATAAGAGGACAATGAAACATGATCCATTCTTACTGGTCCACTGAGTCTGGTCTGTCAGATATCTGTCCATCTTATGTCACATCCTTGAGAAATCAAAAATCATAAAAACAAACGTGGAAAGTAACACCAAATGCTCAACGCTTAAACTGTCCTGCTATACATAAAGATTTCGTCTGCTTAAATATGCAAATGGAAGGGGCCATTTTTCTCTCTGCATTTTATATAGTGTCATTTTCTCATTTAATCGTTTCGTATACTTGTCATGTCTCTAAAAATGTGCTGTTCTAGGATAAAACTAGGCCCCTGAAATGCAGGCGTGCTGAATCTGAAGTAAAATGACGTTTTTGCAGCAGAGAGACGGGATTGGTCCTGAGGCATCTCGAAGGAGGTTTTTAATCTTCCTCGCTGCCACTAGCCGAATGCTCCTGGAAGATAAAAATCAGACAAAAGACGAAGCATAAACCCCTGCTCACACCACAGATAACCAAAACACTAAATTATTCTTCATTTAAAGGGGACCCATTATGCAAAAATCACTTTTATAAGGGGTTAAACACATTTGTGGGGCAAAAGTGTGTGAATACAGCCAGCCTCTAATCGTAGAAATGTATTCATTTATTTTTTTTATAATCCCACTGGATAAAAACTGTCTGCAGAAACACTTTGATTGTTATTCTCCCTTTGTACATGTCAGAGGGAGAAAGCCCCGCCCATTAGTGACGAGTGTGAAGCAGCTGTCGGCCATTTAAAACTTTTTTTAGGATGCATAAATGAACACTGTAGTCTCCATAGACTGCCTTCTTCTGACACTTCATTCGACATTTTTACAGAGATATGACATGACACAATTTTACTGTTATGATAAAGCACAGGCATTTGTAGCTCCGCCCTCTTTGGAAAAAAAAAGCACAATCTCATTTGACTTTAACCCTCTATGGGACTAGTTATGAAATCACATTTAAAAAAATGACTACTATTTATTTCTAGAGTATTTAAGGCTGAAATCATGACCTTTGTTTTAATTTGCCGTCACTTATAACTGACTTTGTCCCATTAGAGTAAATCATTTTTGGAAACTTGTTCTAAAGTTTACACATTAAAGAATATTTTCTCTGTAGAAAGAAGTCAATATCTTAAGAGTTTCAGAAACATTATTTATAATAAATTTCTTCATATACCACTAAATTTGTTTTAGAACTTATGTAAAATTTCCTGAAACTCGAGACAGATTCAAATGCTTTTTAACTCTACGGAAAATAGAAACCTTAAACTAAGGTTTCAGAAACTGTTGTCTAACAATGTTTTAGAATTTTAAACAGTATTTATACTATATAGTTACTTTAAACAATCAGTTGTGCACTGATATATTTTTAGTAGTCACAGTGTAATAGTGTCTTTTTTCAAGCACTGTAGTGTAACAATGTCTTCTCACAAAAAAAATGATGTAAACTTGTTGTTTTTTTCTCAAAAACTTAAGTGCAACATTTATTCATTCAATCATTCATTTTCCTTCGGCTTAGTCTTTAATTCAGAGGTCGCCACAGAGGAATGAAATGGCAACTATTCCAGCGGATGTTTTACGAAGCGAATGTCCTTCCAGCTGCAACCCACTACTGGGAAACACCCATAGACACTCATTTACACAGACACTCATACACTATGAGTGTATGAGCCAATTTAGTTTATTCATTTCACCTATAGCGCATGTCTTTGGACTGTGGGGTAAACCGGAGCACATGGAGAAAACCCACGCCAACAAGGGGAGAACATGCAAACTCCACACTGAAATGACAACTGGCCTAGGCAAGGAGTCGAACCAGCGACCTTCTTGCTATGAGGCAAATGTGCCACCGTGTCACCAGATGTGCAAAACTTTTTTTTTTTTTTATAGTGTAACAGTGTCCTCATGTTAAAAACAGTAGTGAACAAATGTTAAACAGTGTTTTAACAATATAAGTTTGTTTCAAAAACATTAGAGTAACAATTTATTTTCACAAAAGAAGCTGTGTAAATGTCTTTTAATAACAGTAGTGCAACTTATTAACTACCTAGAACACAGACCTTTTTTTTAAATGGTCAAAACCTTATAACAGGCGTAACTAACCCTGTTCCTAGAGACCTATATTAAACACACCTGCCTATAATTATCAAGTGCTGTTCAGGTCCTAATTAACTGGTTCAGGTGTGTTTGAACAGGGTTGGAGCTGAACTTTGCAGGAAGGTCGATCTCTAGGAACAGGGTTGAGCACCACTGCCTTATAACAAATTTAAAAGAAACCTCATAAAAAACTTCAAACAAACCGCATTTAATACGTATACGTCATAATTTCAGGTGTGAACTCTAAGAGTTAAGGGGTTGAAGAGCTAGAGCAGTTAAAGAGTCAAAACATTTTCTTCATTGAATTGAATGCAAATTTAGTTACTTGTGTGTGTGTGTGTGTGTGTGTGTGTGTGTGTGTGTGTGCGTGTGTGTGTGTGTGTGTACTTTTTCCCTTTAAGTTTAATTATTCTTCATTGATTATTCTTGTTCAGCTCTTGGGGTAGGGCTTGGGTTAAAACAAAAATAGAAAGAAGGAAACTAATGTTTACTTTTGTATTGTATGTAGATTATATTTTCCTTTATTATCATTATTATTATTAGTAGTAGTAATATTAATGATATTAATAATAACAGTAATAATAATCATCATCATCATTGATTATTCTCAAGTACCTCTTCCTGGTCTTCCTCACTGTCGTCATCACTAACAACAGGTTTAGGCCGCGAGCTGCGTCCGGTTCGGCGTCGTCCTTTTCCTCTCTCCGCCTTGTCCTTTCTACTCAACTTTATCTTCACCTTCACTGAACGAGCTGTAATATATACACAAACAAATATTTTAATATTGGGCTTAATATAAATTAGAGTTGTAAGTGTTTTATACTGTAATCAGATAATATTTGGATTCATTCATGTAGCAGTATGGACCCTTTTCACTTGTCTGGGTTTCTCAGTAGCGGAAGTCTTTATAGTGGAGTAAACGTAGAGCGCAGTGAATACGAGAGTACAGCAAATCTTTTTTTTACAATCCTACTTGCTGAAAAAAATGAAAGCAAAACTCCCAGATGGTTTTGGCAAGACTTTCAGAAATAGGAAACAAATAGTGTGAGATCGATAACGGCAACCAGGAGAGAACATTTACTGTCCTGCCCATACACTGTTTTACAAATGCCTCGCACAAGCAGTAATTTGTTTTTTGTAATTTGATGCAAAGATGATATGATACATACATAAATAAATTCAAATGTTCATACCATTTAAATTTTAAATGCTGATGACTGAAATGAGTCATAACAATTTGGTGAATGGAGACCATTATTGTCAACTTACATTCAGACTCGGATCCTTCATCGACATCATCCTCTTCCTCCTCGCTGTCATCTCCCTCACTCTCTTCCTCCTCTTTCTCGATCTTCTGCCGCACGCTGGTGAACACAGACTGCAGCACGATAGAGTCCTCGTAGATCTGAAATGTCAAACCCTCAACTCATTTAATGATTTTAGGTTGCTTGTACCAATTTAAAGACACTGATGCAGTAGATGGAAAAAACATTTATATAAAACATTATATTATAACCTATTGCGCCATATTCAATTATGTTTAGCTTAAATACAACAACTAAAGATGAAAATTAATGTCAATTAAAGTTTTATGCATTTAAAAATTGACAAACTAATTATTTAAAACGAGTTGAGTTTAGACAACTTAATTGTTTTATATTCAATCCACTTTTGTAAATTCTATTAGGTTAAGTAATCGATTTTTGTTGACACAACATCATGTAATTGTGTTGAACACAGCATTTTTTACAATGTGTTTTGATGAAGGAATTATTATAAAAAAAAATTAAGTTACAAACATTTTAAAATGTGGAAAACCTAAAAAATAAAGTGTACAAAAACAGATATACTTAACACAATACTTCTTTTTTTTTTTTTTTTTTTTACTGCGCATTCACATCGAAAGCAGAAAAATAGCCGAAAGCACACAAAAAGCGTAAAAAAGTAGCCGGAAGTCATTCATTTTCAATGGGAACCAGCGGTTGCACATCTTCGCTAGTGCGGCCGCCAAAGAGAGTTGAAATCAAGTCAATTTTCTAGCAGTGAGCTATGACACAAGTTCATTTTCATAATATAAAACAAGATTTTTTTATGCGGGAATAACTGATCGGCTGATATACTGTGATAGCCCCTCTAAATACGAGATCAGTGTAGCAAATTTTTAAGCCCTCACTGGGGGAGCGGTAAACATCTTTTTAAATCTTCCAAAACAACTATTAATGGTTATGTTATGGGATCAGAAAAATATTAATCTGTAAATTTTTGACAGCGTTGTCGCCAGGGTGGCCAGAGCAAACTTTTTCAGTGTGAAAGACAGTTACACACTTACACATTTTTCATCTTTTTACACAAAAAACATCAGTTTTTTTGCACAAAGACAATAAACTTGGTCGAATTGGTATTTTTGATGGGTGTTTAATAAGATTGTGGCTTAAAGAGTATGATGAACATTACCAAAGATCCCTCCAGGTTGAAGGTCTGAGCGTTCTGACACAGCAGCATAACGTCCTTCTCTAGGTCATTCAGACTGCGGTACTTGTGACTCCTGATGCGCTCCTGTGTACAGCAGAGAGAAGGATTTAACACTGAAATGTTTATTCACACATATATGGTAACACTTTATTTTGATGGTCCAATTAAGTATTAGTAAACTGTCTGCTTAATATCTGCTGATACTGCTCCTTCAACAGACATTTAACTGACTATCAGAAACTTTGCAAGTACATGTCAACTTGCACTAACCCCAACCTAACAGTGTACTTATTTGATGAGAATTAGTTGGCATGTAGATGCAATGTAACTTAAATTCAACAAACAGACCCTCAAAATAAAGTGTGACCAAATATTTTGTTGCATTCATTAACCAATTCATGAAAAGCGTTCGTATTATAACTCTATTAATGCAATAATTGAATAAATCAGAGTTGATTTACACCCTAAAACATTGTCAGAATTGTCCTTTCAGGTTTAAAATCTAAATAAAAATCAGAAAATACTACATAATGAAACATCCAGAGTTCTCAACCATGTTTGTGAAACAGCCAAACTATTCAAGACCCAAAGTAAAATCTAATCCGTTAGTTATTACAAATGAAAAGTTGACAAACCTTGATCTTCCTGAAGTCCACAGGTTTGCGGATAAGTTCATAATACTCGGGCAGCTCTTTACGAGACGGCAGTTGAATGAACACCTCGCTCAGTTGCCTCCCATTGCTGTGATGAAATACAGTGACAAGAAAGAAATATAGAAAGAGCTTAGTTAAATCTAATGTACATTAATGTTTAAAATACCTTAGGAAACCTGCAAATGCTGCTTTTATTTGCTATTGGATCGTTTTGGTAGGACTGTGTTTGTTTAGCCTTTGTATAGTGTTAAAAATTTAGGTACAATCTAGTGATACACCAATAGACAATAGGTGCGTCCCAAATCGCATACTTATACACTATTCTACACCATTTTGTTGTTTAAATAGAGTAAGTAGTGTGTTCACACTGAAAACTCTAACAAGAATAAGTACTTTAAATACCCAGATGATGCACTTATTCAACTGTTAAAATTAAGTGTTGACTGTTGGACACTTCATGCACTCAACGACCGCTGCTTTGCTAGCATAGCAGAAGGGGCAGAGCTTTCGGCCACTGATGTTGGATTATTTAATTTGATATTAATTCTCCTATGAGAGTGATTATACTGCCTCCCGATGGTGAAAACGGTTTTACTCATGGTAAGTATTGTTTGGTAGTTTGGTCATTTGTTTCACTAATTTGGCAACCATCAAACGTCAGAGAAATGGTTTGAATTTTCTCTTAGTAAAACAAACGTTAGTATTCCATTTGAGACGACGCTACATGCATAATGACATTGCACATCAACAATAGTTAGAAATAAAAATGGCAACTGAAAATATCAAGGTGATTTGTGGCTTACATAGCTTGATTTAAAATTATAGGAAGATTCAGCTGCCATCTTGTAGATAGAATAAAGCAGCAGATGCCAAAAGCTTCATATGTTTTCAGCAAACTTGCAGACTCACTGATGTGTCACATAACCATAATGCAAAGTTTACACATTGCTTTGACATCAACAAGAACATCTTTGTGGTTTGAAACCGAGACCATGCCAATGTGTAAAATGAGTTTCCAAAAAATAAAAGACAAAATGAAGGTCAATTTGTATTTTATGTGTCGAGTTTTTATAAATAATTCTTAGCCTAATCCATTTAATTATTATTATATTTTTATAACCCAAAATGTAAACACACAAAAAAAGAAAATACTTTTTTTTTTTTTACATTAACTGCAAATGTTTAAGTGTTGTAATCACCAACAACAACAAAAAAATTGGACACATAAAAATAACAATAATGTATACTATTTAAGAGTAAATATAGTAATTTTATTTTTTTGTTTTTATAGTATTAAATACTTTATATATTCAAAAAGTAATCCTCCTGAGACAATAAATGTTTTTTTTTTTTTTTCATTTTATTAAAGATTGATTTTTTTTCCCTTTATTATGATGGAAGCAAATACTGACAGGAAGCGAAGTTGGAGGACAACAGACAACTACGCTACAATGCTACCAGCTAAATCAGTGCACCTGTCTGTAAACAATATTCATTTCAAACTGACCCACATGGATCATAACTGCAATAGAAATGTTGTACTCAAATTTCACAACACATATTTGTACCAAATGTGCATGCAAGATGCACCAAATAATAGATTAACCATTCTCTAATTAAAAATGTAATGACAGTGATGGAAAGCAAAAATAGCGAAGTAACGAACCCATCCTTGTATTTGATCACTGCGTCCACAGTCTTCTTCATCTTCTTGGTTAGTGATGGAGGATTGGGTGAGAGTTTCTCAGCAGGAGGGCGGCCGCGTTTCTTCTGCTTCTTACCGTCGTCATCTTTATCTCTGCTCCGCCCACTGGAGCTAGGTGTGGCCGGACCGGGAAGGTCAAGATCTCGGTCACGTTTCCTCTTCCGGGTTGTTTTCTTGTGGCGCACTTCCTCCTCAATCTCATCCAGGGTGCCTTCCTCGATGGCCTGTAGATGTATATACATCAATACATTTGACATTTTATTTCTCAAAGGTCCCGTGAAATGCTTTGGAATGTGTATGTTTTTATTCAACGTTTTACGTAATCTTATCTGAAAAATTAAAAGAGGGCCAGACGGTAGATCCTCCCCTTTTAAAAAAGCAGCCAATAGCATTTTGTTTCATCACAGCTCTGCCAGTGAAAGGTTAAGCTCAAGCGCATCAAATTAAAAGCACATGAGAAGCGTCTTGGAGGGGATAGGGCATGTCAGATACAAGACAGAATTTGATTAGTCAAGATTTTATGAGAAACTGAAGTTGGGCAGAAGTTATAGATATGCTTGAATAACGTATGATACTAGCATCTAATAGAATGTTATTTTAATTTCACTGGACTTAATAAGAACCAATACAATGTAGTGGCGATTCCTCATTTACCTTCAGCCACTGTTTCTCTGTCAGAGAGTCACTGTAATCCACCTCCTTCCTCTGGCGGGAGCCACGGCCGAACATCTTCTCCTCTTCCTCTTCACAGGTGAGCCTCTCCACCTCAGCATCGTCCTTCATGATCCAGGTGGGCAGCTCATCTTCCTCCATCAGCCTCGGCCTGCGCTTCGGGTTACGAGCCTCCTCACGTCGCCTGTCCAGATCCATGCGCTTTTTTTTGGAGAGGAGGAGAAAAATTTGATTTTGGAAGGAAAAAGTAAAAAGAAGGAAAAAGGAGGAAAAAAAGAATAAAAAAGAAAAAGAAAGAAAAGGGAAAGAAGAAGAAAAGAATGAAAAAGAAAAAAGAAATAAAAAGAAACAAAAAGAACAAAAAAAAGAAAGGAAAAGGAAAAAAGAACAATAAAGAGAAAGAAAGAAAGTAGTAGGAAAGAAAACAAAACGGAGGGAAAAAGAACAAATGAAAGAAAGAAAGAAAAAGAAATATAAAGAAAGAAAAGCAGAAAAAAGAACGAAAAAATAATAAATAGAAAGAAAGAGAAAAAATAAAAAAATTAAAAAGGAAAAAGAGAAAGAAAAAGAAAAAAAAGAAAAAAAAAAGAAAGAGGATAAAAAAGAAAAAAAGAAAGAGGAAAAAAGAGGAAAAGAACGAAAAAGAAAGAAGAGGAAAAAAAGAATGAAAAAAGTAAAAAGTAAAAAGAATGAAAGTAAAAAATAGAAAGTAAAATGAAAGAAAGAAAAAAGAAACAAAAAGAAAAACAACAAGGAAAGAAAGAAAAAAAAGCAGTGGGAAAAAGATTGAAAAAAAAAGAAAGAGGAAAAAAATGAAAGAAAAATATGTAGAGGAAAAAATAATGAAAAGAAAAGAGAATTAGAAAAAAAGAAATAGAAAGAAAGAAAAGAATGAAAAAAAGAAAAAGTGAAAAGAAAGAAGAAAAAAAGCAAAAAAGTAAAAGTAAAAAATAAAAAGGAAAGAAGAGGAAGAGCGAAAAAGAAAAAAGAAATAAGAACGTAAGAAAGAAAATAGAAATGGAAAAGAGAAAGAAAAAAGAAAGAGAAAAAAAGAAAGAAGGAACAAAAAGCAACACAGTGGCGTAGCGGACGGGCCCGCAGGGCACGCATCGCGGGGGGGCCCTGCGTGATTAGGGGGCCCCGCGTCGTCGTGATTTTCAATAATTAAAAATCCACCGGCGAACGCAATAATCAAACTCTTGGGAACAACTCTGGTCGGAACCAAAGTTCACACGTCTGTGATCTCTGAACACTTCTCAAGCGGTGGACTACTTCATTCTGATTGCTTGCCGCCAATGTTGCCAACTTAGCGACTTTGTCACTAGATTTAGCGACTTTTCAGACCCCCTTAGCGACAAATCTAGCGACTTTTTTTGTGTTATTGGAGATTTTTTTAGACTGTCATTTTTCCATACTGTACCGTCCCTACTCTTCTCAACGAGCTGCGTGTGATGCCGCCGGCCCCTCCCCCGCCTCACAGCACTGACAGGCGGCTCAGTCAGTCCGCAACAGCAGCCTCTCCCACCTGCAGCCCGAGAGCAGATCACCCCTCTGCGTACCGACGACAAATGATTTAGCACAGGCAGTGTGAAGGTATTTCCCTTGTACAGTCAAACCGATCTACTTCTACTTTATTTTAACAATTTAATTGGACCGTTTATTCTTTTCTTGTTCACAATCACAGATATTAGTGACAGTTTCTGAACTTGTCTGAGTTTATTACATATGAGAGATTACTGCACATTCACTACACATCTATAATGACATACTGTATTCAAACAGCAATAAATTTAGTTAAATTAACATGCTTATATAAAGTGTAGTGCAATTATAAATACCCCTTTATGAACCATAGGCTGTTAAACAAACAGAAACGGTAGAACGTGATGACGTCAGTGATCAATGCAAATTGACGTATGACGTTACCCCCCCCCCCTCCCTTCATCAGGGGGCCCCGTCAGCGATCCCTGCAGGGGGGCCTCTGCTTTTTGTGCTACGCCACTGAAGCAACATAAGTAAAAAGAAAGAAAGAAGAAAGAAATGAAAGAACACAAAAACAAGAAAAAAACAGAAAAAAGAAAGACAGGAAAAAAAGAAAGAGAAAAGAATTAAAAAGAAAGAAAGAGAACGAGAGAAAGAAAGAGAAAAAAAAAAAGCAGCACTGCTGACCATAAAGTGGTCGAACTCTTCCTCGCTTCTGGCGATCATCTGATTAACAGTTTCATCATCAGGTACTTCATCTTCCTCCTGTGACGCAACAAAAAGCAAAGAAAGAGTGAATGTTAGCTACAGGAAACGCAGATGGTTTTATCAAGACATCAAAATCAGTGCATTGTAGAGGAGAATCCGAACCTCATCCTGCTCTTCGTGCTCCAGGATGGCCTGCAGGAAAGCTCTGCGCTCGTGGCTGGAGGACTTCTGGTCGAACATACCGGCTTGGATGACCTTCTGGTCCACATTGAGTTTGTATTTGGCAGCAGCCAAGATCTTTTCTTCCACACTGTTCACAGTGCACAGACGCAGCACACGCACCTCATTCTGCTGCCCGATGCGATGGGCTCGATCCTGAGCCTGTAGATCCTATCAGATAGACAAAAGAAAGAGGTGTTCAGAGACACTGAATAATATGAAGTCAAATTTAAGCACTTTTCAGGTTTGTTTGTTTATCCCCAACAAGTGTGGCATGACTAGCATCACATTATATCAGATGATATATCTTAGTGTTGAACAGTATAGTATTCTATTCAAAGCGACATTTTTAATTTCTGAAAATGTTTTCGTTTGCTCTAATTTACTCTTGTTGTTAAAATTGGCTACTTGATTATTAACCATTAAGTCTGTAAATTATTAAATTATAATGAAAATGATCAAGTAAATTATGAAAGCAACAAATGAACAATTGTTCTAAACATGAACATTTGATATTAACATTTTCAAGCAGTTTTAAGCACTTTATCCAAAATATAAGCACTTTTCAAAGCTTTTGAAAAATTTGTAAGCTAACACCTATTCTACATTTATTCAAATATTCTATTAAATCTAATAAATAAAATATTTAAAAATCATCTCAATATTACAATTTAGTTTTGATTCCTGTATTAAACAAAAAATTCCATAGGATTCCATAACGAAATTAATAAACACTAATGGCTACTATACGTTTATGCGAACATTTTATGAAATCGAATAAACGGAACAGTCGAAATCGTCAGAATATTACAATTTTACAGTGATTAGATATAAGACAATCAATTCTGTTACAAAACTTCAAAAAATGTCAGTATTGTACCTGGTGAGGGTTCCAGTCGCTGTCAAAGATGATGACAGTGTCGGCAGACTGCAGGTTCAGCCCCAAACCCCCTGCTCTGGTGCTCAGCAGGAAAATGAAGTACTGATGGGAAGGATCGTTAAAGTTCTTCAGCAACATGCCACGATCCTCAGCCTTAGTGGTTCCTACAATGACAAATGAAAGAAGTTAGCGTGATAAATGGACTGTAACTTGATTCAGAGTTTATCAAGATAAATTAGAGACTTTTTAATAGCAAATTATATTCAATTTAAGACCACCAAACCTGCTACAAATATACATGTAGATAGATATATTATTTACATCAGGACTCATAGCTAAGGGCTTACTCACACTATGCCATCCGTACCGTGCCCAGGCCCGTTTCCCGGATCGTTTGAGAAGTGTGAGTGCACTGAATCGGGCTCAAGCACGGTTCACTTGGCCGGCCCTGGCCCGGTTGGAAGAGGTGTGCCTGAGCGCGGTACACTTGGGCTTTGGCGCGGTACGCTTGTGTGTGAGCGCGAAACGCGCCAAAGCCCGAAACCGAAAGCGAGACGTGACTTTTAAGGGACTGTTTGATATGGATTTATTAATCATTCTTACTGTTCAGTGATCGCAAACTGCCGTAGTTTATTAAAGACGCAAACTCCTCACTGCACGCCAGCTGCGCGCCCTCAGCAGACCTCATTCCTGCAGCACGAGAGCTTTATGATTATTTATGAGCGCCAAAAGTGGCGGATCTGTTCGGTAAAATATCTGACTGCGTGTCCCCGCATCCCTAAGGACTGTTTGGCGAAATATTTGACTGCATGTCACTGCATAACAAACGACTGAAAGGATATGACTAGAGAAATCTCCACTGTGCTGCTGAGTGAGAGCGTGTGGCAAGCCGTTTTAACATTTAAACCTTGTTCTGACTATCCATAAATATATTTAGAGATATAATTATATATTTTGACAAGTCATTATTATAATTCGACTTGTCAGAATGACAATTAGAGATATCTGCAATTACAATTGTTCTAGTACGAAATCAGATTGGAGATATCTGCAAATATATTATTAGTAGTCATATTCCTCCATTGACTTCCATTGAAAAATATTTGCAGATATCTCTGAGTTTTGACTTGTCAAAAATCCAACTCAAGATATCTACAACTGTAATTCGACTATTAGTAAATTAATTAGAGATATCTTCAAATATATTTGTAAATATCTCTAAATATTACGAATTAAAGACATCTCCAAATGTATGACCAGTAAAAACTCAGTTAGAGATATCTCTAATTACAATTGTGACTAGTCAAAACTCATTTAGAGATATCTGCAAATATTTTTCAATGGAGGAATATGACTAGTAATAATATATTTGCAGATATCTCCAATCTGATTTCGTACTAGTACAATTGCAATTGCAGATATCTCTAATTGTTATTCTGACTAGTCGAATTATAATTATGACTAGTCAAAATATAATTAGAGATATCTCTAAATATATTTATGGAGTCAGAACAAAGATTTAAATGCTAAAAAGGCTTGCCATAGAGAGCGCTTCTGAACAGCGCAGCAGCGATGACGTAAGCGTGCCGAGGCCCGATATGGTGTGAGCGCGGGCCGTCGGGGGAGACGGGAGGGGGGACAAGCGTGCTTTGGCCCGGTTCGAGGCAACTGTACCTAGTGTGAGTACGGCCTAAGAACGGTTTGATTGGCTACTTTAGTTCTCTCTGAAAACACAACTACCAGAGAAAAAAAAGGGTCTGTCCAATGATCATAAATATTAATGTATCGAACAAATACAGTGATTTTTTTGTGGTAATGCAAATAAAACATTTAAGACCTATCGAATGTGAAGGACTTTAAGTACTCATGAAATTAAAACTAATCATATAGATTTTGTTAGCACACATTGCTAGTTTTGTGGTGAACAATTCATGTGCATGTCATGAAGAATAAAAAATTGTTTGCTCTTGTAAACTAGTTGAAACCTGAAAATGCACTTCCTGTTTGCTTCCAGTTACATTTTTAGATTACCTCTGTCTGAGGTAATGGGTGTGGTTAACATAGTTCAACACGCCCCTCCAACTGTCAGTTTTGACAGTGCTATAACAACAAAAAGAAATTGCGAAGAGTTGTCGTCGGTTATCGTGTATTTACACGAAACTTCAGAAACTTCATGCTTGACAAAGGGCGTGTCTGAAGTTGGGGCTGACGTGATCGAGATAGCTGAATCAGCCAATGAAATTAGTCCGCAATCTGCAACTGCACGAGCTGGGGTATTTGCATAAAATTATCTGATAGACCGAAGCTTGGTGATTGAAAAGTTGAGAAATTCCAAACTCCTGCAGCAAGCAATGCCACTGAAGCAGCGGCGATGGATCCATAATTAAGTTCGGCAATGCTTCACGTCACCCATTCAAAGTGAACGAGATGCGTTGACACTGATGACTGAGTGAGTCGGGCGTTAGTTTGTAAAACTCTCCTAAAACCCTTTTCCAGATCTTCCTGAATAAAATGGCTACTTTACCACATCTAGTCAGCTCAGAGTAGAAACAAAAAGCCATGCTCACTTGTTTTTCATTTAATATTTTGTTTCTCTAGGAATTGCGTCACAATACAGAAAAAAATAAAATGAAATGACATTAACAGCCTCTGCTTCTGGTTCATGTGGACTTTAAGGTCCTTTGAAAAGAAAACTTAATTGAAGACTTTAAGGACCTGCGGTGGCCCTGTGATGCTTTTAAATGAACTATTAATGACCTTAAATAACAAGGAACATGACTTACCGTCTAAGCGGAGGTATTTGAAGTTGCGGTAAGCAAAGTAGTCCTCCATGATGGTCATGAGTGTGGTCATCTGACAAAAGAGCAGCACTTTGTGGTTGGTGGCGCGGAGCTTTGGCAGAATGCGGTCCAGCAGCTCAAATTTACCAGAGGCACGGTACAAATCAGACCTGTAAAACACCAGAAGACATGATGAGATGCAAATAAAATACAAAGGTGTTCTTATTATAAGAGAAGTAGTTCTGCTCACCCCTGAACGATGCCTCCAGTGAAGCCCAGGTGCTCAGAGAAAGATTCCTGCAAAACAGATAACACGCATGCATGCATTACTAACAGATAAACAAACAGGATATAAATGAATTCATAAATAGAGTATGTGTGAGTAAATGATCACCTCAATGTGCTGAAACATGTACGGGTGGTTACAGATCTTCCTCAGCTGCATAATAGTGTTCATCAGTGTCTTAGTGCCCCCTTTGCCCTGTAACACACAGAAAGATGAGATGCTAGAAATGGATGTTGAACCATCTAGACACATTCTGGATGTGAAGCATTTCTTAGTCACCTTCTTGTCTTTCTCAGAGCCGTCAGTGAGCAGCACTCCTTTAGCCTGCATGTGCCTGTACAGCACTCTTTGAAGAGCCGACATGTCGCACTTGATCACATATTCCACCTACACGCAAAAAGGCAGACATACATAAGTGTAGTAGAGATTTAGCCAAAAAAAAAAAAAAAAAGCATTTAATCCTTTACTTGTAGAATTGAATTTCACATTTTACTGTGGTTTTGTTACATTAGTGCATAAACGAGAAAGAGAGTATGCTGTAAACATTCTACGAAAGAGGAGGAAAAGGGAGTGAGGGAAAAAAATCTAATTAAAATGAATACAAATAACGTCTTTTGCTTAGAACAAACCTTCTCTGGTAGCTGCGCCTCTACTTCCTTCTTAAGTCTCCTGAGCAGGAAGGGCCGAAGCACTTTGTGCAGACGACGGATGATCAGGATGGTTTCTTCTTCATTTAGGTCCACCTTTATTACAAGATCAAAACTTTAATGTTCCAAATGACACAAAAACTAACACAATTTTACTTTATTCTCACTCATTTAAATGTACTAATGAACCAACTACAAACATATCTCCGTAAGGCATGTTAAAAACAAAAACAGTATCAAGTTCTGCAATTGTTAACTACACATCTAAATAATATAGCTGAAATCACTTTCAGTAGTTTTTTCCAGTTGCAAATGTTTAAGGTAAGCTGTCAATTTTCTTTTCTTTAAAACACTAATAGGGTATATGCCAAGCTAGTGTTGTTCCCATACTGGTAAACTTCCGGTGACCTGTTATTGTGAATTTTTTCCATTTTTTTCAATCTTTTACAGCATTGATGTTGTAATGTAATTAAAATACAATTAGTTAAATAGACTATGGCATTCATTTAGTAGCTCAAGTGTAAAATGAGACAAAAATCGGCAGGTTAGCGCAGAAGCTAAATTGAATATACTGTGGTAAAATAAATGCTCATATTATAAAAGAAAATCTGAGATCCACTTCATATTGGATATCACTCAGCTAGTGGAGATCGCTGATTTTTAAAGAAAACAGCCCTTCAACACGCTGATTTTGCAGTTGCATTCAGTTCAGCGGAAGCGCTTAACCCAGGTTACTGGCAAATTAAAAGTCCTATTAGCATGCTTTGGAATATACCGTATATACAGTAATTTTCAAGGAACAAACCATATATGATTCATAAAGCAATGTCAAATATGCATTTTACAAATGGAAAGTGGCATATTTTATTGTGTTTTGATATTATTGGGCTAATTTTGACTGGCAATTAAGCTAGTTTTGTTGCAAAAACCTGGCAATCCTGAGACTGACCATTTTGAGTGCAACTTTTTAAAGCAGCAGATGACAAAACTGCAGTGTGCACTTCTAAAAAGCTGAAAATTAACATTACAAAGGTGCCTTATGATGAAAATCTGGGTATACCAAGGCATAGTAAAATAATAAACGATCAATATATGGATATGGGCATACTGTGTGCCTCAGACACCAGTTTCATCGTATTAATGTCAATTCCACAAGTGTAAAACCCAGGTAAACAATGGGCCAATCAGAAGACAAAACAAACTGTGACGAGACTCATGAGCTATGTCTTCTGTATTTGCATGCATCCTTACTTTAGGTCATTCATCCTGACCTGATGAGCAACTGACATAATCAAGAGAACACAACTCACCTGCAGCTCTGAGAGCAAACAAAAGCCCTGAAATTATTAATATGCACACCTCAGGCTGTGTTTGATAAGCCAAACGTTTTCTAGTGATACCAGTGATCATTTTCCTCCCTTAGTTATTTTAAGTGTGTATTTCACTTCCTATGCATGTTGGACTTTTATTGTAAAAACACAAGCGCCAAACAGCATAAGACATGTTTAAAACTCGCCTCAGGATGCAAAATCCAAGATTTACAGATTATACACTTATTCCTCTCCACTCTGAAGAGGCATATGGTATGCTTGGTTACATCTTTTGTTAATTTATCATGTTTATTGTGAAATGTGAAGCATATGTGTATTAACAAACACATGTAGACTCTTGAATCTTGTCAAATCACTCACCTCAACTGTCATCCGTTCATACAGAAGCTGATATTGAATCGTGGCTGTTTTCTCTTTGAATGTAGCTCAAAATACAATGCAATACATCTCTCTTTTCACTCTCTTTTGTCAAGTTTAATCATAATTTAGTTTTTACCCACAACAGATCTGGTGAGCATAATAGGTTAAGGTTACTCTGATTGGGTTATATTTGTCTGTGTTCAGCTTGCATCATGCTCTGTGTGTATGAGTGTCTGAAATCGCAGCAGGTCAAAGTTGAGTAGAGCAGATATTCTAGGGGTATTTAAGATAATAAATTAGCTTATAAAAGCGTTTCTGAAGATTTCTTTTGTTTACTTTCTGAAGCCATAAACCTACTAAGTAGATATCAGAGAACATTTTAACTTATTAAACCAATACAGTATATGGCCCCTTTAACACATTATCCTTATAGTTACTGTTATTGTTGTGAAAACCATTTTACCTTCTCTCCAGTCATGGCGAAGGGCGCGTTGAACCACTGCTCAAAGGTGCTGCAGCTCTTGAAGATGGTGGGCAGCAGGAAGTTGAGCAGCGCCCACAGCTCGGGCAGCTTGTTTTGCAGTGGAGTGCCAGTTAGCAGCACACGCCGGGGTGCCAGGTAGTGCGTATTTAATACCTGAGTCAGTTTACAGTGGTGATTTTTCATGCGGTGACCTTCATCCACGATCATGTACTTCCAACGGAGCTGGAAGAGAAGGCATCATCAGACACTGAATAAACACTGGTCTGAGAATGATTAATGATTAAAGGTCAGGTTAATACCTTGGCCAGCACTTGCTTATCTTTGATGATGTATTCATAAGTAGTGACCAGTACGTTGAATTTGCCACTGCGCAAAATGGGAAGGAACGCACGGCGAGCAGCAGGAGAGCCCTAAGATGAAAATAAGCAAAAAAAAAAAATGTGTTAAATATCCTACAGGGTTCTTCGGTTGTGGTTTATTTTGTATTACAGCATTTGATTTAAATCACCTTGTAAGAAACTTTCACCACAGATGGAGCCCACTTATCAAACTCGTACACCCAGTTCGACAGAGTCCTATAAGACAACAGAAAAATCACTAATCATTCATGCATCTTGGCAATGCCCATGGGTTGATTATTTTTGAAGAGAGGTGCATGATTATCTGCTAAAAATAAAGATATCCCAGGCCCAGTGTGACCCAATACAAGTTTATTTTATATTTGGTGAGCACTGCCTCTCAAGTACTAATATTACCCCAAATCATAGTGGGTAAAGAGCTGTATCATGTGGATAACTGGAACATTTTGTTATCGTTTTGCTGCATCTCAGCTCACAGTAAATAAATAAATATCACTATTGATGATGGAAAAGTGTATAATGAATATTTCTACACAGCATATTTTATTGTCCAGAAAAAAATGCTTGAGATTAAAATGCAAAGTGTACATAATATACCATAAAGAAAATATATATACAGGGTGTGCTAATATAGTATATGACATACCATAAGTTATAATAAATTTCCTATTTAAATAGAATACTTTATTAACTATAATAACAATTTTAAATGAATGACACTAAAATCATAACATCAAATCTACAATACATGCCAAAAAAATCCTTACTACACCCAAAACTGTTCAATTCTAGAAAGCCTAATTCCCATAAAAATGTATTTGGATTTATTTAACTGTTTTTTGCCATCGAGATCAGAGATTCCCAAATATTTTCTTATAAAGGGCCAAAAAACAAACAATTTAGATCTGAGGGCCGATAGTAAATTTATAAGACTAATTTCCCAATTTCTTTGAAATAATATTTATAAATAAATAGACTTTAACGTATTGGGCTAGCTAATACACCCTAATTTTTTTACATTTTATAATGAACGTATTACAATGAAAACAAACTAACATAAATTCTATTTATAACACAATTGAGTTCAATGCACATTTAAATAAATCTCATCCATTCCCAATATTTAATTCAAGCTTTCTTTTTTGTAGCTTAACAATAAAATAAACAAATAAAAGATTGTGTTAAATTAGAAATGACAATCTCTATTAAAGGCATACCCCTGCCCCTCCCCCATTTTTCCTCTCTTTTCAGATGGGATAGTGGGCCAAACCATGGGTTATCATAGGCCAACTTTGGACATCTCTGATCTAGACGCACTCACAAATCACCCCGATAATTTACAGAATATTCATATTTTTACATTTTTTCGTTCATCCATAAACCTAAATATTGTCAAATTCTTCCTCTGGTATCATGCAACTCCAGTGACTTACGAGAGGGGGACGATGATAAGGAAGGGTCCGTTGAGGCGTTTGAACTCCATGAGGTAGGTGATGAGTGCGATGGTCTGGATAGTTTTGCCCAAACCCATTTCATCAGCCAGAATGCCATTTAGGTTATTGTTATACAGAGACACCAGCCACTCCAGACCTTTAATCTGTGGACGGAACGAAAGCAATAAGCACAAGCCACCAGATTAACAAGAATCTCTCTGTGTATTTTTCGTTTTTATATCCATATCTTAGTATTTTCTGGGATCTTTTGTGGTAACTGAGATCGGTGATGATAATTAATAACTGAAAAAGTTACGTATCTTCAGAGAAAAGCATTACGTCGAAAAAAAGGTCACACTGAATGGTAGAGGGGGTTGCATACAATGCATATAAACGTGTTCACAGAATAGGATTTGCAAAGACACTGAGACCAAAAGATCTGTTCCAACTCTCTGTGATCAGCTGCACCTCAGGAATTAGTTTAAAACATTTTTAAAACAGAGCATGTTTGTAATAAAGTAAAAACTGTAGAGTAATATATCTTTTTCTACCTGATATTGTTTGAGCTGCCCGTTCACTAGCAGACTCGATTGCTTTTCCACCTTCTCTGTGACGGCGTGGGCCACAGCATAATATGACTGCAGGCCCCGAATGAATGCAGAGTTCCCGTATTCATCGTCTACATCTTGCTTGGCATGTCTGTAAGACACATCATGGATTTCATTCACTTATAACTACAATTATGACAACAGAATGATTAAATGAGCAAGAGCTCATGTAGCCAGGCTAAATCCAATGACTCACTCAATAATGTGACGAGCATCAACCTCAGAAACATCCTCGCTGTCTGGATCAGGAATCACCTTCTTCTCCTCTGTCGGGGCCTGAGAGGGCTGAGGCTCTTCCTCATCATCCTTTAAAGCATCAAAATAGATGGACATACAGTAAGATGGACAAATCTTGAGACATTGTTAATTCTACATTTTACATTCACATAATTATGGCAAGTCATAAATTGCAAAATATCTAAACAATCAGATATAACTTGTGCTAAATAAAATTAATTTGTAAATTGAAAAAACATACATATATAGAAATAGCTTAAATTAAATTAACTAATGAAAGTAAATCTAAACAATTTCGCAAATCACTTACAATTAATTTGTGATTAAATATATAAAATTAATCACAATTAGAATTAATAAAGAATTTTAAACCAAACTAGACAAACATTAATCTATTTTTACATTTTTAATTTAATATTGTAAAACAAATATTTATATATAATCATTTAAATTATATATATATATATATATATATATATATATATATATATATATATATATATATATATATATATATATATATATATATATATAATCCGCTATAATAAACATTATATATACATAGTTTACTGAACACTATTACTTGGCTCAACAAATATACATTTATTTTTGGGGGGAAAACTAAAATCTTGATATTTAATATTGGCCACCAATATTAGAAGCTCAAAATGTTTATTAGGAAAGCCATTTATTATAATTATCCAGTCATGGCACTACTATCTCAAAGATTAACTAGCTACTAATCTTATCCTGTTGATGGCCTATTTCCTGACAGCTCAAGGCAGCAAAAAACAAAAAACAACACGTATAAACAGTTTTCTTTTCAAGTGCATTTAAAGCCTTTGCAGAAAGCAGCATGTTTAAGAGACTCTGAACAAAAACACCGATATAAGCACCTCTTCCTCATCTGAGCCACTATCTTCACTGTCTGAGCGCGGGGCCACCTCGTACCTACAGAAAACAAACAAATCAGCATGACTCCAAACCATTCTTGTACACTACTGATCAAAAGCAAGATGTTAAAGGCTTTAGAAAAAAAAAGCCTGTTCACAAAGGCTGCATTCATCTGATCAAAAATATGGGTTAAACGCTAGAAAGATGATTGGCAGAAAGATTCATTATTACAGTCTTTAGTGATGCATGACTGTGAACATTTGTTATCATCAGTGTTTAAAACTGCCACTTTGTAAAAAAGTACCATTAAAAATATATATTTACTTTGCACAAATGCACTTGTGTATAATCAAAGACATATTACATTTAAAATAAAAACATATATAATTTGTGAAAGTATTTAAAAAAAAGATTGCTTCAAATAAATTCTGTTATTTTGAACTTTCTTTTCAAAGTATCCTAAAATGTTAAATGGATCAGTTTTCACAAAACTATAAAGCAGGAATAAACTGTATTCAACATTATTATCAACATGTATTCAATTATTTAGTATTGATAATTAATGATGAAAAACAAATAACAATTGATCGGTGTAATAAATTTTTTTCTGAAGAATTATGTGACAATATCTGAGGATGTATCATCAGCATCAGAAGGATCTGATTGGCTGGAGAACATGTACAAATTTGCAACGTGCTAATCTGAGACATGTTCAAACCAGCAATTATTCTCCTGCATTTACACACAGACCAATTTCAGCAATTTACTGTTATTATTACAACTTTATATTCAAGAAAAATACTGTTTGGGTTATTGGATAAAAAAAAACAAAAAAAAAACAGTCGTTCTCTTTACAACAATTTTTATATGAGATACTCAAGAAATAACCCATTTAGATAAAATTGCCAAAGTGTGTCTCTCTCACCCTGGATTCATCTCCAGCCAAGTATCCAGTTGTCCAGCTTTAGGAGCGTCCATGCCAGTGAGGATCTTCCCACTGTCCACGTGAATCACCTTCACCGGCAGGTCACTCATTTGACTAGTCTCATCCAGAGGCTATAATACAAGAAAAAAAAAAAACATAGTATTAGATTAGCGCACAACATTACCACTGTTTTTGACTAATACATTTCCATCATTTCCAGTTATATGCATTCAAAGACTTACATAAATGGCAGAACAGAAATTATGGGTTAAATAATATAAAATATTCTAATATACAAGAATTCATGCCATTTCAGAAGCATTATGTAGCACCAATATCTACTATAATGATGATACTGCATTTCTGATAAAAACATCTTATATAAACAAGTAATTCTACAAATAAATAAGTTATAAAAAAAATAAAAAGCAAAAATATTAAATACATTTTGCTGTTCATTATGTATATGCTATACTGGTGTTCATTTAATTACTCTCAAGGCTGGGTGATTCATTGAAATCAACAATGGGAACCTATAATCAAACTAATTTTTCCAGGTAATTTTTAAAAATTATTTTCCCTAGTACCATGTGTGGAGTCACGTGACCCCGCTCTGTTATGGCTAATTTATACTTATTATATTATGACTTATATTTATTAAATTATCTTATAATATACTTCTGTCAAGCACACGTGTACAGTCCGGCACAGCCTTGGCATCTCTCAAAAAAGCTGTAACTACTTAATTTTAGGCCAAATCCCCCAGCCCTAATTACTCATTAAACACTTTAAAAAGTTATAAAATTAGAGCAACTGAGTGATATCATAATTTATGTCTTCGGAGGTGAAATCTAAAGCCTGTTTTTCCCATTTGGCAAATGAAATGAATTATTCAGGTAATTTATTGCTTTTTTTATTTATTCACTACACCCAACATCAAATTTGACCTGATATAATGTAGTTAAAACCTGGCTTTAAAGGTTGAATTGTCACTAAAGACAGATTAACTTAAATGACCAGCCAACACAACTCCAGATCTCACCTCTCCATCAGGACCAAGCGCAGGAGCTCCACCTTCAGCGTTCTCTGGCTTCTGAGAGCGGAAAAAAACAGACAGTATTATCTCACTCTCTACTGGACAAACAATTAAAGACATCAAGATTTAGATTCTATTACACAGCCTTTCCAAATCCATTTCATTTTCTCACCTTCTTTTTCTTCTTCTTCTTCTTGTCTTTGAGGGCCTGAGCTGCTTTGTGAGCTCTGACAAGCTCTGTGAGATTGGCCACATACTCATCGGTCTGCTGCAGCAGGTACGCCAAACGTTTGTCCTTCTTTTGATCGATCAGCTTCCTGTAACCCTCTTCATCTTCAGCCTGGGAGAAACACAAACAGATGATACTTTCTTCAGACGTTTAAATCATCTAACAGTTTTTACTCTATCGGTTAGCAGTTGTCAAATCAAAACCATGATAATATTTATAACAACAATAATAATAATATTAATAATAATAATACATTTTATTTAAAGCACCTAATGAGAAACCACTCGTGAACAACTCGTACAGCTTTACTTTGACATTTCCTCAAGCGAGAATGACATTGACTGAATTTTGTGGTACACCCTGCCAATGGTACCCTTTTGGCAGTGGAAATGCAAGCCTGATAAAGGTGACCGTACGACTCAGCAGAAACGGGCCAATACATATTTGTCTACAAGGAAGTGAAAAAGGCAAGGTGTACATCATCCATCACAATTTAAATGTGCTTTAGACCTTGTCTACCTGTAGAGTCTGTTGTTGATTAACAAGTGTTGATTAACAGTGATTAGCTGCACACTTAAAGGCACCACCACTGACAAACTCTTGCTGATAAAAGTTTTATACATGAAGAAAAGTTGAATTTAAACTATCGCTAAATTGAACTGTGCATGTCTCGAAAGCCTTAATGTGTACTTTTCAATGATTTATTATTAATATTATACATTTGATAGTAGTATTATTATTTTTTGTATTATTTTATTTATTCTACTTATCTTTTAAGGAAGGTGTATAAATATCAAATGTTAGTTGTTTTTCCTCTGACTGCTATTGTTAAATGGTATATTAAGCCTGTTGTATTACTGTCAGTTCAGTGTTCAAAACACTGAAAAAAAAAAAAACTGAATTTTGTACAACAGAATGTGTAAGTTGATTGGTTGGTTCTGGTCACAAGGTGCATGGTGCGCTTGCGGCATTCTGAAAATCTGAGACGTTTCAAACTCTGCTCTGCAGGAAAGCGAATCACTATTTAGATATTAACATGCTTGACGCACGTCTCCATTAGAAAAAAAATCACTTGAGCATGCAAGACACAACATGTGAATTTCAGTTTACTGAAAACGCATCTTAATTCCAAAAAACAGGCTGTAGAAAGACCATCTCTCCTCACCATAAGCCTTCTCATTCTCTCCTTCTCGATACGCTCATTCTCCTTCTTCTGCTCTCGCTCAGTGTTGGCGTGGTACGTGGCTACGGCTTTGGTCAACTTCTGCATCTTTGCGGTGATGGAACGATGATATTCCTTGAAGTCCTTTGCATGCTGCAGGATACTGTTGAGATACTCCTACAAACAAAGCAAGAGAATAGTTGTTCATTACTACTACCTTTGCTTCATTTTAGGGTTTAGAGTGTGTTGCACACGTTTAACATGCTTCTGAATTCTGCAAATTAGACAAGAGTGTAAAAAAAAAAACAGTGCAGTACCTGGTGTTTCTGTCTGCGTTTGCGTTCCTGCTCGATCTTCTGCTGTTTCTCCAGTTTCTCAGTGATACGAGCCTCGCGCAGGGACTGTCTCTTACTTCGCTTGTAGGCCTTGGCGTTGAGTGCAGTCTCCAGGGCCGTATCACGCCGCATACACACTACCACTTCCTGACGGAGCTGTGTTCACATCAACAACAGGAGGTTTTCTTTAAAGATCTCTAAATAATAATAACAATGATACAATCATTATAGTTATCGAATTAATGACGCAAATTTTACCTGTCTCTGAAAGTTCAGAAGTCTAAGTGCCTTGAGCTCAATGTTGGCTTTGGTCCTCAAGTCTCCAGCCAGAGAGCCTGGAAGATTCTCCAGTTCCTGAATACGATGCGCAATACGTGCCTGTAACCTGACAGGTGGAAACAACAACAACAGTAAACATTGGTGAATCCAGTTAACATAAAGGAATGATTTCCTGAATGCATTAAGTCAGGGCTTCCCAAACATTTCAGCCTGCGACCCCCAATATGACGATGCCAGTGACTCGCGACCCCCAATATCCTGGTTATGAATACAGAAACCTTGCATGCAATGTCACACACACACACAGATACACCCAGGTATATTCTTCGTTTAATGTCAGTGCTGTAAATGGGCCAGAAACTTTAACCTGGTGTTATAAAATCCATCTGCTGCATCTGACGCTATTGCTGTGTCTTTAATATAATGTAATTACCACTGGGGTTGCAATCCAATAGAACTAGTAACTATAAGCTACTATAGTAACTATATAGTAATTATAAACGACTATATTTTTTCTCTTCTGTAGGTTATGGATAAAATATGGTCATTCTTATACGATTTAATAATAATAAATAGATTTTTTTAAATCACCTGGCGACCCCCCCCTTCATTGTCCCGCGACCCCTCGAGGGGTCCCGACCCCCACTTTGAGAACCCCTGCATTAGGTCACACTCATCTCACCTGTACTCTCTTTCCTGGAGGATCTCCACCGGGTCTAGACCCCGGGGTTTCTGGATGGGTGTGATGCGGTTCTGTTTCTGGTGCAGCACCATCGGTGGCTGGGCTGGCTGACCTGGAGACTGGGTCTGAGGGGGCATGACAGGGGAGGCAGCGGGAGGAACTGACGGTGGTGCTGGAGAAGGGCGGCCTGTGGGCTGAGGGGGTATCAGCTTCTGTGGGGCACTTGCGGGGGCAGCAGCGTTCACCATGGGTCCTGGGATTACAAAGTCAAGGTAAGTATGTGGCTCTGTAGCCTAAAACACCCAGTAAAGTTTAACTTCACTTGCTTATTGGCAACAACTAGAGATCGTTTACACAGTTTACTGACCTTCAGGCCAAGGTTTAGGTGGTCCATTGGTGGGTTGTCCTTGCAGGCCTGGAGGTACACCAGAGGGTCCTGGAGGAGGCATGTTTGGTCCAACCATTCCTTTAACATAGTTAAGATTAAAACAATTGAAATGCACTAATGTTTCGCCTACCATTGTTTTAGCAGTTACTATTTCAGAATTTTGAAGAGCTGTGAAATTATTTTAAAGTACCATGTGGTCTATTGTAGTTGGGTCCACCAGGACCGGGAACCCCAGGTCCAGGAGGTCCTGCTCCTTGTCCTGAAGCAGGGGGCATGTTGGGCATCCCCTGCTGCATGCCGGGCATGGGTCGCTTTCCCTGCACTGCCATCTGTAGGTGATCTGGTAAAGGCTGCCCGCGAGCAAGCATTTTATAGGCCATGATCTGTGCCCGCAGCTGATGAAGTTGGTTTTGGTTGAAAGGAGTGGGTCCGCCAGCACCACCAGGGCCACCTGCGTTTGGAGGTCCTCCGCTGGGTCCTGGCCCTGCAACACCACCTGCACCTCCACTCCGGTTCTGTTGAGCCATTGCCTGCGGGTCTCCGCCTTCCATAGGCATAGCACCAGGACCAGAGGGCATCATGGGGCCAGATGGTGGGCCATTAGCAGGTACCGGGCTGGGGGCGTGATCCGAACCACCCAGAGGAGATGGGTAACCTAGGAAAAAATTTAAGGCAACATTTGATCATTTGATTCTTGTTTGTCTTCCAGTGCATTGTCAATATAACTACTAAGCTGCTTTTTAGTGCTTCCTGACATTTGAGGAGGTGTTCTTGCCTGCAGCAGTTTAGGATGGATTATGGGACACTTGCAAAGACATTTAAAATGCGATTAACAATAGTAGTCATTCATTGCAATGTTTTCTGAAAAATAAAAAAATATATATAATAAAAATACAACAAAATATTTCATAGAATACCAAGCCTTGCATTTAGTAGTAGAACTTATACACTTACGCAACTGTTCTACAGATTCATTTGTTTGTTGTTTTTTAATGCTATACATTCCTAAATAATATTCTTTCAGACCAATCCGACCAATCACAAGATTCAGGTTATGTAACATATCCAGATAAGTTTACGGATATGTAAGTGGATAACTTCAGTGTTCAGTTCCAACATTCAATTATATAATAATAATAATAATAATTATTATTATTATTATATTAATAAAAGTTTATTTGTATTGTTATTTAATTTATACTTAAATTGCAGGGTGGAACGGTGTTATTATTTTTTGTAACGCTTTAAAAAAATGCATCTCTAAAGTAATTTTCATTCATTCATTCACTCATTCATTTTCTTTTCAGCTTAGTCGCTTTATTAATCAGGGGCTGCCACAGTGGAATGAACCGCCAATTTATTCAGCATATATTTTACACAGCGGATGCCCGTCCAGCTGCAAACCATCACTAGGAAACACCCATACACTCCCATTCACACACACACTACAGACAATTTAGCCTATCCAATTCACCTATACCCCGTTTTTGGACTTGTGGGTGAAACCAGAGCTCTCGTGTGATTTTATTACAGAAATATATTTCGCTGTGTAACAAATGCGGAAGCAAAACCATCATTTAAAATACATAAACCTATATTTTCCTTCTGATAATTGTCCATTTCATGTATAATTACCAACTATAAAAACATAAGAATTTTTGTTTACAAATAAAAGATTAAAGATTTATATATAATAAAGCAACAGGCTTTGAGAATGTATCTTGCCCTTAAACTGAAGTGGTGTGGCACACTGCTTATTGGGTCTGTTTTAATGCTGATTTTGGCTTCTGCATTGAGAATGCCTTTTGTGTTCAGGTTTAACAAACTCTGAGTTGACTAAACTTACTCCTAGGAGTTTTTGAAACCAACACCTCGAAAAAGCAGGTTTAGAGATGATCAGAGTTGATTTCAGGGTTTAGCAGATGGTAAATTAATCTTGCCTTCCAGAATATACCCCTGATTATAGTAGCTTGTATAATTTATATTGCCTGTAAGTGTTTGAACGCATACTATTTTAAATTTTGTTTTGCTTTTGCTGTGGTTTCCGACAGCTGTCTGACTTTTCGTTTCAAAAGGGTAACCCTGGTCACCCTACATTGATCTCTTTCTGGAAAACAAGTGTTTTGGCTGCCCCAGAGGAGGAACACAGCAGTGCACATCAAAGGGAAATGTGAGCTAACAGGTTGGATGACTTTTCTATGCTCAGTCTAAACAGAAGAGCGCCATCTGTTCACCACATAACAGACACAGATCACAAACACACACACACACACACACACACACACACACAACATCTGCATCTCATATTTCACATGTCCTTGTGTATGATATTACCTTGCGTATAGAAAAACAAACAGAACAACATGTATTCATAAAAGGAATAGCAAGAATGCTAAAATAGCAGATGGACAGAGAGTGATTAAACATGACAAATGACAAAGAGCGACAGATGGAAAGACAGAACATGACAGAATGACACACAAAAAATAAAGATAGAATGAATTGTACAGGAATGATAGAAATAGAATGAATGGCAGACGAACGGATATGTAGGCCGGTCACAATAATCAACATATGGCCTTATCACACAACACATGGACAAGACCACAATCATCCATATAACCTATACATGACCTATTCTAGCAACACTTTAGTTGATTGCACAACCTTTCTATCTCTATTGGAGGTGTCAGTAAGGTTAAAAAACACTATATTACTTACTATAAATTACTATAGTATATTTTCATGTGGGAGTCTGATAATTTAAAATAGATTTGGTAACTTTTCTGTTAACATTTATTATTATACTATTAGACTCCAGTGCCTCATTATTTAATTGTTAAAATGACTATAATTAAATTAAATATTCTCAAGGATAAAATCTTATGAGTAAAAAAAAAAAGATAGAGATACCTGCGGATATGAGAAACTATTTAAAATGGGAATATTAATTCTAAAAATGAAAAAATAGTAACAATGGCATTTAAAATAAAGACAGAAAGAACAGAGACTCTGAACATATATAGACTGAAAAAAACAATCCCAAATGGATAGAACAGCTGATAAAAGCAACATAGAGATATGACAGAGCACGTATAAAACTATCATTGATCGGAAGGAATGATTAAATATTGACCAACGGATGGAGGAAAAAAAAAACTACAGAAAAAACAACAACAATTTGGGTTTAAAGGGGTGGTCCAGAGTGTATTTGTAAGACTTGGTTGCGTTTATAAGCTGCAAAGCAGTGTGTGCTTATGCTTTACTTGTAGAAAATCACATTATATTTTCAAATATCTTACTTAGATTATATACAGCTACTCAGCTAACATGAAAACGACATGAAACATCATATTTCCTAATTCTTTCAAAGGCCACCCTCAAAAGGCTCTGATTGGTCAGCTAACATAATGTGCTGTGATTCACAGATCGGCTCCAGGAAGTGTCTCTTTTATAACATTACTGCACACCCTGTGCAGCAAAGGGGTGTGGCCGGGTGTACAAACGTAACATGAAGGGTTTATGATCTCATTAACACAAATGTATTTTTTGAAGTCCCCAAACTTCGTTTTCTTTATGCTTTGCTAAGCTAACTCCGTAAAAGCCAATGTCTCCCTTTGCACTGAACATTCAGAGATGTTGTTTATAATCACACAGCTACATTACACATCATACCACATGTGATATTGTAGTGGACCACATCTTTAATCTGTAAGGTACACATTTTCTAATTTAATAACCAGTGCGCTTTCTCTCACATTCTCCTCTTCAGACTAAGAACAAAGACTTTATACTTTTTAGTATAGAGTTTGACTATTAGGTGTATATTTGACCTTCCATAATTGTGTAGTTTTTGTTATTAATATTGATTACATTATTATTATTATTTTATCATTGTTATTATTTACTTTGTTTCTTTTTTTTTTTACATTGTGTTTTGCTACAGCTATATTGTACAAAATGTGAAATGATTGGGAGTAAAAAATGCATCCACTTTTAAGTTGAAATTTTGTATTGGTTATGCTGCTACCCTAATTTAAAAAACAAAAAACAAACAAACAAACAAAAAACAGATGAATAAAAACAACAAATAAAAAGTGAAAGTATACAAAAAAAAAAAACTGACAGATAAAAAGGTAGAAACAAAGAACAGAAAGGTACACAGAAAGACCTACATAAAGAAAAAGCAAAAATAAAACAGTACAAAGAAGGAATGACAGAGGCAAAAATGCATAACAACAACAAAAGGATGAAAAAAAACAGACATCCCCAAAATGAAAAAGGAATAACAAACAGAATGATAAACACAGTGAAAGACAGAACGACAGATATACACTATAGAATTAAATACCTTGAGAATGTTGGTCCATAGGGCTGGGTGGGGGTCCCATACCGCTGTGCCCACCCTGCCTCATGCCCATTCCTTTCATCTGACCATAGCGCTGGTCTTCAGGAATGCCTTTCTCATGCATGCCCTCCATGGGCTTCAGAAAAACACAAAATACAGCATGACTCAAAGATGATGACCGAACAGCAGAAAGGAAAATCAACACTGAACTAACAGATCTACACTACTAAAAGAAGCCTATTCTGCTCACAAGATAATATTTGTTTGATGGAAAATATAGTGGCAGTTGTGAAATATTAATACAATTTAGTGTGACTACTTTCTTATTAAATATAACATTACACGCATTTCATCCTGATTTTCTGAATCATTAATTCACTCTTTAGTGTCACATGATCCCTCATCATATTAGAATTAGATCTGCTGCTCAGAAAACATTTAATATATATATTATTATATATATGAATTGGAGAAAAAAAACAGCGATAGGGAGATATATTTTTTAAGTTTTTGCGTTTATCTTTATTATTTTTGCATTACCTCACAAACATGTTGTTCCACAAACACTTCCTGTTTACTTCATACATGTCAACCCCCCTAAAACAAAACCAGAGATTTATTTGTTGCTCCTAACTTGTTTGATAACAGAGGTGTCATTTTAAATGAAATGTACAGAAGCTGATCTGGGATCAGATTATCATACATCCATCAGTCAGCCCTTATATATGCATTCACTGATTCAGAATTTGCGTATGATTGATGCACAGCTTTAATGGAAAGAAAGTGAAAGCAGACGTTTTTATATTAATTAACGTGCTTTCAAGATCAAACATATGGGAGAAATACGGAAAAATACTTAATGATAGGATTATAGCGGGATAGAATGATAAAATACGGGAGAATCAATCCCAGCAAAAACTGGAGGGTTGACATGTATGAAGTGAACAGAAAGTGTTTGTTAAAACAGTTTTGCAAGGAAACACAAAAACTTAAAACATATATACTTTCCTATCTCTCCATTTTTTTTTCTCCCATCCATTCCTTCCACCATCACATCCCTTCTGGGTCTCCTTACAAAACATTCATACACACCATTCAAAAGTATTATAATATGCCTTTAATTACTTTTATTAATCAAGAACACATTAAATTGTTCAGGAACAGAAGTAATATTTAATGCAAAAAGAGAAAAATGCTGTTATTTTTAACTTTCCTTTCAACAAAGAATCCTAAAAAGCTGAACCCATCACAGATTTCTTATGTGATGCAATAAGTTTTCAAAATTGATTATTGTAAGAATCCTTAAAGACCAAGTAGCAATAATAATTGATCATAATAGAACAGCACATTGTCATATTATTATAATGATTTCTGAAGGATCATGATTTAATTATATTTTAATGACATATCAGTAGTATTGGCTATATTCATGGCAAAACCTATACTAAATAAATAAAATATAACAATCGTATCAGTTTCTTAAACATACATTGAACAAAAAACACATTAAGAGTCATATACAATATTTTAGTCTAATTAAATATAAATATTGTATTAATTCAAATAAATAAACATTTCCCTTAAAATATCTCCTGAATAAAAATGTTCTCTAATATCATTTAAAAACACACATTCTACTGAAATATGTTTTAACATAAAAATATTCTTACACAAGTCATAGATAGGTTTTTCTTCCCCTTTCGATAAATACAAGTGTGTGAGTCATGAGTGTCCGATTCTGCATCTCATGTGTACAGCCTGACCATGTGTACTTTCAAAATGCTAATTATTTATTTTATTTTCAAATGGACTAACTTAATACAAATTGTTGTTCTTTCTACATTCATTCCATTCACCATTCCGTATTAATATTCAGATTTAAAGCAGGTTTAACATCAGACAAAGGTTTGTTACTTTCAACTTCAACTGTAGGGCTTCCTTAGCTGTTTTATCTCCACGTTCATTTCCAATGAATCCCTTATGACCAGATATACAGCAAAAAAAATTATATCAAAGTCTTTTTCCTTTAAAAGGTCCACATTGACATTTTCTATTATGCTAAAAATCATAGGATGATCGGTTTTCATAGATTCAAGTGCTTGTGTGCAGGATATAGAATCTGTGCAAATTAAAAACTGGCGTTACTGTTCTTTTTCTATTTGTTCCAAAGCTACAAACAGTGCACAAGCTTCAGCTGTGAATATAGAGCTTTATCCGGCAATACTTTTTTTTTTAAAACACTCTGAACCCATCACTGATGCAGCAGATACGCGTCCATCTGAGTTTGAACCATCTGCAAACACTGGTACAAAAGATGTAGATTGCATAGTGTATTTATAAATTCTTTCTGATAAACATTTGCCTTTTTTAGTACAGAGAAAGGTGCATCACTGCATTATATTAGAAGGCTTTTTAATAAACCAAGGTGGTATAGGGCATACATGTTTGAAGGATCATGTGACACTGGAGACTGAAAGAAAATGATGATGTAAATTCAGCTTTGAATCAGAGAAATGAATTACATTTTTACATTCAATTATTTAAAATACTAATAATATTTTGCAAGTTTTCTTTTTACAATATTTTTGATAAACATATCTAGCCTTAATGAGCATGAAAAGTTTTCTTTTCATTTTTTAATTACATTAAAAACCAAACTTTTTATACAAGTGCTATTGATAAAAGCCATTAATACCTTGTGCATCTGGTGCATGTTGTCCTGCGGGTAACCTGAGGGGCCCTGTGGAGGTAGAGGGTGTCCCGAAGAGGGGGGCCCAGGGCTGGGGCCCATCATGCCATGGGCAGAGCCAGGTGAGGGTCCAGGACTAGGCCCTAACATGGCCCCAGGAGACGGCCCAGGGCCTGGGGAAGGTCCCGGCCGAGGGGTCCCGCCCATGGGTGGGTCAGGAGTGGACATCTCTCAGCAGAGCCAGAAGTGAGAGGCAGAAACACAGTGTTCTGGATTCTCAGAAAGCCTGGAAAAACACATTCATTTTATTCCAGAACTTAGCCATGATTAACATTTCTTAAAATGCATAAATGAATTACATGTTTAACACAAATAGAAATATTTTGATTTACTAATGACTTACAAGAAAAAAAACTTTCTTATAAGCTCACGCTTTTCATGTATGGTGATTTAGTGTCTGCATAAAAGTGTATCCGTCATTAAGCATTGAAAGTAAATTAATGTAATTAAAAGTGGTAACTTCAATATAAGGTATAGTCAAATTTAAATAAAATACCTGAACTCTCACATTTATTTAAATGTATTAAAAAAAGATGCTGTGGTTAAATTCTTTCATTTTAAATCATTAACACTTTTCTGCTGACAAATCCTAGAGAGACGTTAGGAGGGCTTGCTGCAAAACTGCTAGCCTGACATTCATTGGTTATTATGTTTTCCAGTCAAGCTACCAAAAATGAATCCATCCTGCCTGTCGGGCTATCTTAACAGGAGAAAAAACATAGCCCATTTCAATACTTTTGCATTCTTTCATAGATTGTGTAATTATGCTGTATGTAATTTTCATGCATTGGGGTCCCACCATCAATAAATGTTTGAATTCGTATTTGCACTAATGGATTTTGTCAAAATAGCCGGTACTTTGGTACAAAGTTGATTTAAAAAAATTTAAATAAAGGTACCAGGTGACCTACCAGATTGTCGCATGATTGTTTTTCAGGGACAATTACAAAATGAAAAGAAAAAAAAAAATAATAATAAATGAAATGGTCATTTTCAAAAAAATAAAATAAAAATGTAAACGTAAATTTATAATTATATGTAGCCTATAATGAAAGCACTATAATAACTTTGTTATTTAGTAAACGTGTAAATGTATATATTTCTATTTATTTAGTAAATAATACATTTTCAATTCAGGCTACTTGAATTTAAATCAGGCTGACAAAAACTGAAGAGTGCCAGCCCGAAATGCTACCAGAAGTTTTGCAAGCCCTCAAACCAAGGTATCAAAATTTTAAATCAGCAATTAATTAATATTTTAAGGCTGCACTCTTATGCTCAGACTATTTTAAATGTCATTAACCAATTCTTGATCAGAATATGCCTGTTTAATTATTTTTATAGATATATAATAATAAAACTGCATTATACTTTGATTCTTAAAAACACTTATAGCGACCACCACCATGAAAATACAGCACTAATTTGACATCTTAAGATCTGATCTCATCCTAATGCCCTGAAAGCTCATCTGTAAAAAATTATAGCATCATAGCAGCTACAGAATGAAGCCAGTTATAGCTGCAATATAAAAGAACTTAAAATGGGCCACGAGTCTGGGTTAATTAATTTCTGCCTTAATGTGTGCCAATGAAAACATTAACCAGTTTAATGAAGGGGCTTTCTTCCAAAAATTGTATCCAGGTTGCTTATTGGATATAAAGTAACAATCATTTATATAATTTAAAGCAAGCATACAATTAGTATCACTCATAAAGCAAGAAATCATTCAAGAGCTTTTAAAAATACACTTGTCATTTCAAACATGAGGATTGGGGTCCGTTTTTTTTTTTTTTTTTTGCTTATTAGATATAAACATTAGTGTCACTTAAAATGACCTTGTCTTAACATTAAAACTGAAATATGCACACACAAAATGTTACACTTTTATATCCTAAAACAAACAAGACACGATTACAGCATGAAAACCTATCAGTTTAATATCAAAGAATCAAAATTAGGAGAGCAGCAGCAGCAGAAGAGTCTTTAATAATGCTGAATAACAGTTCTTATTGTGAATCCAAAGCTCAATGAACTGCATTTGTTTTGTATCTACCTAATAACACTGGAAATATTCAGATGTTTTGTAACGTTAGCCATAAAAAAAGTATATAAACACAGACACAAATAAATTGACTGTAAGAAATGCTCACTAGACCAAAGGATGTGACAAGTAGGCTACATACATACAAGACAATGCCAAATTACCAGACAGCTGTTTTCTAACCAAGTGTCACAAACATATGCAATATTTAATTTACTCCAAATCTGAAAGTAAACTGACTTCTATTTAAAACAAAATCAAGTAAATAAAGTCATCACTGCTTAAAAAACCTCAAAAGCCGGTTAATGACCCTTTCAATAAGTTTAATTCGAGTAAATATGATGTTTGCAAAAATCACCAAATATACAAAAACAAATATTCAAAAATAAAGTGTACAAATTTGTAAAACAACACCAAAAAAAAGTTTAAATGAGCAGTAAGAAGCGAAAACGACACATTTTAATTCTTCCTCAAGGCTAACGTGAATTAGCAGCAAGCTAACACCAACAGCTAAACATTAGCGAACAGTAACCTATTAACTTCATTAGTGTTTCTTCTCTGCATTATCAAGACATATAACAGAAGCAAGTCGTGAAATGTAAACGTAAATGGGGTAATGCAAAATTTATCCTTGTGTTTTTTTTAAAGACGTGACCCAGCTAACGTTAGGAAGCAAGAATACAACTCAGCTCCATTAAAACCAAAGACATAACGTTGAAACAAAACGACTTGACGACGGAAAATATTTCGGATATGTTTTTATGAAACAGTGTATGGTTGCTGGACAGTTTACCCTTCATTTAATCCAATTAAAAACGATTTAAAAACTATAAATAAACCCGAATAGGAAAGACAAAGAAAAGCAAAGGAACTGGGTTGTGTGTATGTGTGATTACAGTCGGCCATGCTGTGCTTCCCCATATCCGTGTGTGCTTTCAAACCGAAATAATTCTACTTTAAAAATCACGAGTACAGAGGTGTATATACGGCGAGCATCTTTCTTTAAATGATTGATCCAACCCGCCTTCCGTACGCTTGACCCCGCTCGAGTTGCATCCCAAAACTTCTTCATTCATTCAGCCTCTGCGGTGGCTCTGTAATGTCGGACCGACTCGAGCACCGCGAACCGGCGAAAAAAACAACTTGTTCGCGTTCGATAAATGTTACGGACGATCTCCGTTTAAAAGTCCGCAGTGACGTCATGTGATTTACAAACATTGTGCCGTGTTTAGAGCGTGACTTACAGTGTATATCGGCGCCGGTCTCTTCCCCGTTCTCTTCGGCAAATCTAGAAACAAAGGGCAGCTTCAGCGAGTTCCTTTTCCCTCTCACTTCCCCCTCCCGTCTGCTCTGATTGTATCTGTAGAGCCGCCTGTTCGCCTTGGTCTGCGACTCGCGAGCGCCCCCTACATCAGCGACCTCAATGGGGGATGGGTGCTGCAAAAACCTAGATACATGTAGATTTTTGTCAAAATTAGAAAATTATTCGTTTCGCATCACCACCTCAGCCAGGTAAACAATTTGACCAATAATTAAACAGGCAGGAGTCAATTCTTTGTTGTCTTCAAACAGTTCCTGTGTGCAGAGCTAGTTTCTTACGTCAGATTCCAATTTTATGTCATACACAGTCATGCACTGTATGATATGCAGATATGTTTTCACATATCCAATGATACACATATCCAAAGCCTTTTTGTTTGTTTATTTTTTAGCTTGCTTGTTGTAGGCTGTGAAATAAATAAATATTTAGCATAGTGATTTTGAACTGTACTGCAGACCTGTCTGGACCTACAATAGCATTTATGAAAATAATACAGCTATACTACAACTATTTTCAATGAAAAGGCGCTAAGCTCTGCCTGAAAAGTCACTAAATTACGTCATACGTGACGTAATCAATTTGCATATTACTGACATCATCCGCTTGTTAAGTGGTGACGTGTTTGTGATGTATGTAATACTGTTTCCGGGTTGAAGCCGCCATTCATTTGAGTGGAGAAATCATTCGTTTATGATCACGTTTTATTCCTATCACACATTAAAGTTAATTTTACATAAAGTCATAGTGTACACAACAATCTCCGGGCCTGCTGCATAACAAATACCAAAACTTTTACAATTTATAAAAAATGTATCACTTTCTGGCCATTGGATATTAGGCATGGACATGTATACTGCGATCGTGATTTTCGAAAGCATTAAATCACTTTGTAAACGTTTATTATTACCATTTTATGAGTCTCCCCATTCAGTTTAATAGAGCGCTTGGACCCGGAGGCCGCTTCGCGTGACGTCACACTTAACAAGCGGATTACGTCTAACCGTTTCTATTTGTTTAACCAAAGTCTCTCTTAGTAATTTCACTCTGCGGCCATATTTGAAATGCCTCAGGGGAAACATCAAATTCTCCAAAACTGTTTGCCAAGCTTATGATTACATTACATATTTGGAACCACCAATAAAATGAAACAACAAACGTCTCATAAGTTTGATTTCTAAATGTTGAATCAAACAAAATCAACATTTATTCTGGTTGCCCGAGCTAATGCGCACTCGAAAGGAACGAGATCACGGCACCAACCTCACTTATAGCCATTCTACAGATTATCATCCTCCTCTGAATAATGATCGTTTGAGCGATCTGCTGTTCTGAAGTAATCTACAACTTGGTTTTGATGGTGAATGTTCTTCAGAAATGAAAGTGACTCTTTGTTTACAAGTTTGTGGGTGTTGGGTAGTTGCTGCTGTCATGTTATGTGCGTTTGACAGGATGGACAGTTCCTTGTGTTCATTTCATACAATTACAAAACCAAATTACTGATGTTTTCAAGTGCACTTGGTGTATTTAAAAAAACAGATTTCAAGCTTTATGCCGATATATGTCTTATGTCTGTGAAGCAAATATTCGCTGAGATTCCAGTGCGTTTGTTGACCACCAAACTGCCGTTAAAGCACACGTCTGGTCCGAGCTTCCCCCCAGAGAAACATCAGTCTATAGCAATCGATGATTGGCTCCTGTACTAGTAGGCTGGGCTTCATTCGCCATATTAACTGTTACATTTTTCCCATTCAAAACTTTACGAGTGACATGTCTTGTGTATCCTATTGTTTTTGGTTTAACAGCCTATGGCTAATAAAGGGGTATTTATATTTGCACCACGCTTTATGTAGGCATGTCAACTGCCACTAAAACATCAGTGAATGCGAACAAGAAAAGATTAAACAGTCAAATAAAATTGTTAAATTTAAAACAAAGGAAAAGCAGATTGGTTTGACTGTACAAGAGAAACACCTCAAACTCGCGGTGCTAAATTATTTGCGGTCAGTCAGACGGACATGTAAGAGTCTATAAAAATCACCAGTAACCTGTCGACCTTCTTGTTTCTCCCCAGGATTCTCCCGTATTTTACAGTTATCCCGCTATCATACGCAAGCATATTTTCCCACATTTCTCCTATGTTTTCAATCTTTCTATGAAGGGTGACAATAAACATTAAAGATCCGATCCTCCCTATACACAACCCATACCGCAGAACCATCAGGGGACACCCCTTGCTCTTAAATGAGTCTGTTCTGTGCTTTTGTTTTATTTAGGCATGAAAACATTTTGAATTAAATATAAAAACGAAGAGATTCCCTTCCTTTTCATTACAGACACCGCTGCCCCTCGTTTACAATTCTCAAAAAGTCACATGTCACACGTCCGTACACACGATTTGAGGCAGAGCGAAAGTCTAGGTTTTGGATTTGTGTTTAAACAGTTATATACACATGATTAAAAATAATAATAACATCCAAGCATGTCGCTAAATATAGTGACAAAGTCACAAAGTTGTGAAAACTGTATGCCTCGAAAGAACCATTCTTTTACCAGGCTGGCTATAGACCTGTATAAGCCTGTCAAAATGAAAGCCTGTTTTGCTTTAGAATAAAAATTACTAAATCAAAAATATTAGTAATTGGTCTTGTTATTCTTTTCTTCGAAGCACGAAAAAAGCATGCTTTTACAGACTGCACTCCATTACTACCCGATTAATTTATAAACACTGCAAAACTATTGAGAAATTCCCTTCACAATAAATGGACAAAAAAAAAAACATAATTACATATGTAAACATTTTATTATGTACAAAAAAACTTTTATTTTTTACATTCAAAACTGTATCTACCAGTGGTAAAAAAAATACATTTACAATAAAAAAAATAATAACATTTGTGCAATGTTTTAAATCTTAAATTATATTAGGGATACTCTTTTCCAGGTTTTAATGTGCAGAGGCAAAGCTGAAATCTAGGTTAAAATCCCTCAAAAGTCTGAAAAAAATACTCTGGCCTGCCCAATACTGGTTCGACCAATGGCATGAGTTTCATTCATTCATTTTCCTTCAGCCTAGTCCCTTATTTATCAGTGGTTACCACAGCAAAATGAACTGCCAACTATTCAGGCATAGTTTACCTAGCGGATGCCCCTCCAGCTGCAACAAATTGCTGGAAAACACTCATACACTCTCACATTGCAGGACTGTGAAGGAAACTGGAGCACCAGGAGGAAACCCATGTGAACATGGGGAGAACATGCAAACTCCACACAGAAATGCCAACTGACCCAGCCGGGACTCAAACCAGTGTCCTTTTTGCTGTGAGGCGACATTGCTAACCACTGATCCATCATACTAGGCATGAGTTTCAGCCATGTTTTTGGCAACCAATGGCAAAAAAGGAGAGTACGCTGGAAACCTGTTGGAAAACAGTCCTTATTGCACAAAAGCAAAAATGACACGCCAGCTTTACATGTTACTGCTTGTCTGAAAGACTGTAAAGCTAAAAATCTGTGCATAGTCTCAAAAACACGTTTGGCAAATCCTAAATAATGCACCACTTAAAGGGACAGTTCACCCAAAAATGTTTTTAAAATTCGGCCATCATTCATACACCCTACAGTTGTTCATTAGAGTTTCTGTTAACCACAAAAGAAGGTATTTTGAAGAATGTTGGAAACCAGTAGCCAGTATGGAAGTCAATAGCTAACAATTTCAAACTTCTTTAAAAGTCTTCTTTTGTGTCCAACATAAAAAAAGCTTTTAAGGGGTGGTCCAGAGTAGAGATCTGCGCGGGACTAAATTTTGAATCCCGCTCCCGCCCGCCAGGTTTTAGCCTGAACCCGACCGCGCCCGCTTATATTAAGAATTTATTGTCCCGCTGCCCGACCCGCCCCGTTTTCTGGCCGCCACGCCCGATCCCGCTAAAGAGCGGGGGAGAACAAAACCGAAAATCCCCCAGCTATACAGTCCTGTCTGTATAGTGTTATACTGTCTGTATAAACACACACAGCACCAAGCACACACACACAGACAAATCTCTCTCTCTCATACGCGCGCACTAACACACACACAAGCAGACACACAGGCGTTTGCTGTTATATCAACTCAAAGGCTTGTAATACCATGTATCAAGTACCAATGTAATACCAAAAGTTTTTAGATAAAAGTATATAAATACTGAGTCGCGCCAGCTCCGGGCCGCAGCGCACATTACTCTCGGGCCGAATCCAGTGCGGATGCGGCAGCATCGGCTCCCTTACGGCCGCCGCATCTGGCCGATTGATTCGGGCCGGAATCGGGCAGTGAGTCCACAAGCATCCGGAGTCTGGCAGCCAGAGCCGGGCTGAGTGGTAAGTCCGGCAGGCGAGAATCTAGCCGGAACTGGCCCGGGTGTATTTTGCTATCTGGGAAAGCTCTCTCTCTCTCTCATTCGCGCGCGCACTAACATATACACACACAAGCACCAAGAGCACACACACGCAAAGCTCTCTCTTTCTCTCTCTCTCTCTCTCTCTCTCTCATAGCAATATCCGCGATATTGCTAGACAGCCCGCTCCCGTCCCAAATTAAACCCGTTACCGACCGCTCCCGCGATTTATTCGGAAATGCAGACCTCTAGTCCAGAGTGTATTTTTTTGAGGCTTGGTGGCTAAGGCAATGTGTGTTCATACATTTATTTGTAGAAAATCTGATTATTTTTTTTATATCTTAGATTATATACAGCTGCACAGCTAATATGAAAACGACTATCATATTTCCTAGTTCCTCCGAAAGGCCCGCCTTCAGGAGGCTCTGATTGGTCAGCTAACATAACGTGTCTATTATATTATTATTGTCTATCTTCTGTTGCGTTCAAGATCTCAAACAGGTTTGGACATTTTCAAAACAGAATTTTCAATTTTGTGAGAACTGTCCCTATAAGACACCACAGTACAGAGCAGATCCCCTGAGGTATTAGATATCAGAGTTAAATGACCTCAATAGACGGCATGAAATGTCTTTCATAGTCCGAGACAGAATTCCCCCACTCTTCATCAAACACACCACCCTCCTCTTCGTCTTCGTCAGTATCCACCATCTCACTGTAGTCAGGGTTCGTGTTTCCTTTGTTTGATTCCTCAGGGCCTTTCAACCACTTTTCTCCACCTTCAGTCGTTCTGTCCAGTTGATTGTCATTCTCCGGTTCAGTCTCTAAAGGAGGGGACGGGACACTGAGATGCTGGTTCTCCATGATCTCCAGCTCTGAGATCTTCAGATTGATTTCTGACGAAGAACGGAGCAGTGGCCACACATACTGGAAACAATACAAATAAATACAGTTAGGTCCATAAATATTTGGTCATCGACACAGTTCAAACATTTTTTGCTCTATACACCAATACAATGAATTTGAAATGAAACGAACAAGATGTGCATTAGCTGCAGACTGTACGCTTTAATTTGAGGGTGTTTACATCCAAATCAGGTGAACGCTGTAAGAATTACAACAGTTTGCATACGTTTGCCTCCCACTTGTTAATGGTCCAAAAGTAATTGGACAGAATAATAATCCTACATCAAAGTTTCACTTTTTAATACTTGGTTGCAAATCCTTTGCAGTCAATTACAGCCTGTAGTCTGGAACGCATAGACCTCACCAGACGCCAAGTTTCATTGCTGGTGATGCTCTGCCAGGCCTCTACTGCAACGGTCTTCAGTTCCTGCTTGTTCTTGGGGCACTTTCCCTTCAGTTTCGTCTTCAGCAAGTGAAATGCATGCTCAATCGGATTCAGAACAGGTGATTGACATGACCATTTCATAACATTCAACTTCTTTCCCTTCAAAAACTCTTTGGTTGCTTTTGCAGTATGCTTTGGGTCATTCTTCATCTTGCACCGTCCAATGATTTCTGAAGTATTTGGCTTAATACGAGCAAAAAATATTGCCTGAAACACCAAAATTATCCTGCTGCTTTTGTCAGCAGTCACATCAATGACAAATACATGGGAACCAGTTACATTGACAGCCATACATGGCAGCCACGCCATGTCACTATTACCACGATTCTTCACAGTTTAGGATCATGAGCAGTTCCTTTCCTTCTCCATCCTCTTCTCTTACCATCACTCTGGTACACGTTGATCTTGATCTGTCCATAGGATGTTGTTCCAGCACTGTGAAGACTTTTTTAGAACTCTAATCTGGCCTTCCTCTTTTTGAGGCTTACCAACGGTTTACATGTTGTGGTGAACCCTCAGTATTCACTCTGGTGTAGTCTTATCTTGATTGTTGACCCTGACACACATACACCTATCTCCTGGAGAGTGTTCTTGATCTAACAAACTATTGTGAAGGGTGTTTTCTTAATCAGGGAAAGAATTCTTTGGTCATCCAACACAGTTGTTTTCTGTAGTCTTCCGGGTCTTTTGATGTTGCTGAACTCACGAAGAATGAAGAATGTTCTAAACAGTTGTTTAGGCTACGGCTAATGTTTTTGCTATCTCTCAGATGGGTTTGTTTTGTTTTTTCAGCCTAATGATGGCTTGCTTGACTGATAGCGACAGCTCTTTGGGTCTCATCTTGAGAGTTGACAGTAACAGATTCCAATTGCAAACAGCACACTTGAAATCAACTCTGGACCTTTTATCTGCTCATTGTAATTGGGATAATGATGAAACAACACACACCTGGCTATGGAACAGCTTGGAAGCCAATTGTCCAATTTTTTCCAACTTTTGGACCCTTAACAAGTGGGAGGCACATATGCAAACAGTTGTAATTCCCACAGCGTTCACCTGATTTGGATGTAAATATCCTCAAATTAAAGCGTACAGTCTGCAGTTAAAGCATTTGTTTAATGGCAAATATATTGTGTTGGTGTATCGAGTCAAAAATGTTAGAATTGTGTCGATGCCCAAATATTTATAGACCGAAATGTATGTTACCATTTAAAGTGTTTAAATAGGTCATCATTTACATATGTTACCAATAAAATATTTTATAATGTGACAGTATCTATGTTTACATACAGCTATTTTATACACATTTAGGAATAATAGGAAAAAAGCCTAATGGAAATGCCAATATGCATATATACATAAATATTAAATATGTGCAAAAAAAAAAAAAAAACTTTTGCGCACAATTAAATAAGATAATTTTATACCCAATAAGAAAGAAAATGTGACTAAACAACCATGAAAAAAAGAATTCCCAGCTAGCCCATTAAAAGAAAAGTCATGTGACTGAAGAGAAAAGGTCCAGTATCTTCTCCTGCAGCAGCAAATTCCTTTTTTTGTTTAATATTTGCCACCATTTTATCAGGAAGTGACGATTTTGTTGTTTTTGACTTTGTTTTTGAAAGGAAACGGTGCTGTATTCACGAATGTTTTATGTGACATTCCAGTTTTGCAAAGTCTAATTTGCATCTTTGGATGGAATCACAGCTAATCTCTTTCATTTATAACACAAAAAAGTAGATTCTCACCTGTAAGTTCATGTGTTTAAATGATTTGCTGTTTATTGGATCTGGAATCTTCTCAAAACAGTGACAGTAAGATAACCTGCGGGTAAACAGCAGAAATAAATTTACCATGATGTGTCTAATTTAATAGGTAAAATCATGGATTGCTTGCAGCTCTTTTTATTCATTTATTCATTCATTTTCATTTAGCTCAGTTCCTTTATTAATCTGGGGGCGCCACAGCGGAATGAACCACCAACTTATCCAGCATATGTTTTTACCCTTCCAGCTGTAACCCATTACTGGGAAATACCCATACACTCTTGCATTCACACTCATGACACTACGACCAATTTAGCTTACCCAATTCACCTGTACCACATGTCTTTGGACTGTGGGGGAAACCGGAGCACCCAGAGGAAAGATTTTAGATTTTTGATTTTGTTTTTTAGTTTGGTAAACGCATGATAAAGATGATAAATTTGGGTTTACAATGCCAGTGAAGTGAAATGCTGAACAGCAGAAAAATGTGAAGGAAATCATATATGATTTATGATTTTAATATATAATTTGAAAAGTGATTAGAATATTTTTCCTGGGATGCAATTAAACAAGACATAATAACATTTTTAACACTACAATTTACCGTTATTGATTGGTTATAATCACATATTTCCTTCAGCTTAGTCCCTTATTCTGATTAATTATAATTAAAGAGATAGTCAATCAATCGACTTGTCCAGGTTGAGTTTCTTTCTTCTGTTGAATAAAAAAAATTTATACATTGAAGAATGTTGGAAACTTGTAAACACTGATTTTCATTTGTTTTTGCTACTATAGATGTATATTTCCAACATTCTTCAAAATATCTTCTTTTGTATTCAACAGAAAAAGAAAAAAAAAGACTCAAATTTGTATAGAACAGTTTAAGCGCGAGTAATTATGGGAGGAAATTTCATTTTTGGAAGAACTATCCCATTAAATTAATTGATAATGCTTTTAATATATATTATGTTTGTTTTTCTAGTACATTTAACAGTGTTTTTAACAGGATTTTAAAGGGTTTGTTTTGAGAATAAATATAAGTTAAATATAAACATCAAGTCATAAGTTTTGCTGCAACTTATTTATCTAGCTAGTTACCTAAGAATTTTGAAATTATCGCTTAAAAAACGTACTTTTTAGGGTAGCTTTTATTTAATATTATTTGACTTTTATATGATTTTTAGATCTGTTACTATTATTATTTTTTTCGTGTTTTTAACCATCCCATTTCTTGCATTGATCCTTGTGTCTTTTACTGCTGCACATTTTATGTCTGTAAAGGGCCTTAAGATTTTACTTCTAAAGGTGCTATCATTTTTTTTTATTATTATTGTTATTCAACATTTCTTGTTTTTATTTATTTAAACTGGATGTACTACGATAACAAAAACTAAAATTAAAATGGCATATACATATTCTTTAAACACAAATAAAAATAAAATAGCAAGATCAAAATCAGCAAAATTACAATAACAACAAACAAAAAAGAAATTAAAATTGAAAACAGCCAATTCAAAAATATAAGATTATAACTTTGCATTTGGACATTGTCATACAAACCAGGTTCCTTTTTTTTACTGTGAGCTGTTTGTTTGAAGAATTTATAGAAAATTGCCAAACATTTAGTTTGTATACACATTTAACATAAAAGCATAAAGGTTTGGAAACCACTGTTGTAGAATTAAGCTTTAGAAACAGAGAAATTGCCAAGCTCACTTTTTGTAAAGTGGAATCCATATACTTTTTGACATCTTGAATCCATATTTGTTGTGTCATCTTTTCTACAGCTCAGCAAAGTGCACTCGATTTTGAGATCATTTTATAACTTCAGATTCAGTCGCATAATGGGAGAAATGTTTAGGAATAATAAACAGAAAGCGGTCAAACTTGCTTTACAAACAAGTGTGTTCATGACTATACTAAAAAAGTAGAATAATATAGTAAGAAAAGATCAGTTTACAACATCGAGCAGCAAAACGAGCTGTTTTAAATGCTTAAAAGTCAATGGAAGTAAATAAGACTATAAATCTCAAGCCAAAAATATTCCAATGGCGTAGGTCAGGGGTGTCCAAACTACGGCCCGCGGGCCATCTGCGGCCCGCAATCAGTTTTGTGGCGGCCCGCGAGGCTTTTTTAAAATATCAATAGAATCTGGCCCGCTATACAAAAATGAACGTAATTCAATAAATAACCAGCGGGTGTCGCTATTACATGCATTGAATTAAACAGCAGTTCTTGTTATGATCTAGCCCAGTGGTCACCAAACTTGTTCCTGGAGGGCCGGTGTCCTGCAGATTTTAGCTCCAACCCTAATCAAACACACCTGAACAAGCTAATCAAGGTCTTACTAGGTATACTTGAAACATCCAGGCAGGTGTGTTGAGGCAAGTTGGAGCTAAACCCTGCACGGACACCGACACTTCAGGACCGAGATTGGTGACCCCTGATCGATCTATCGATCTATCTATCTATCTATCTGTCTGTCTGTCTATCTATCTATCTATCTATCTGTCTATCTATCTGTCTGTCTATCTGTCTCTCTGTCTATCTGTCTATCTGTCTATATGTCTGTCTGTCTGTCTGTCTGTCTGTCTGTCTCTCTGTCTCTCTGTCTATCTGTCTATCTGTCTGTGTGTATATATATATATATATATATATATATATATATATATATATATATATATATACATACACACACACACACACACACACACAGTTGAAGTCAGAATTATTAGCCCCTCTTTGATTTATTTCTTCTTTTTTAAATATTTCCCAAATTATGTTTAACAAAGCATATTTTATATTTTTTCTTCTGGAGAAAGACTTACTTGTTTTATTTCAGCTAGAATAAAAGCAGTTTTTAATTTTTTATGAACCATTTTAAGGTCAAAATTATTAGCCCCTTAAGTCTTCAGAACAAACTATTGTTATACAATAACTTGCCTAATTACCTTAACTTGACTAGTTAACTTAATTAACCTTGTTAAGCCTTTAAATGTCACTTTAAGCTGTATAGAAGTGTCTTGAAAAATATCTAGTCAAATATTATTTACAGTCATTATGGCAAAGATAAAATAAATCAGTTATTAGAGATGAGTTATTAAAACTATCATTTTCAGAAATGTGTGCAAAAAAAAACTATATATATATGTCTGTGCTATGTATGTAAAATTTGGTCTGCGACAACGTTTTTTTTTTTTTTTTTTTTTTTTTGCATCTGGACCCCTAGCGTAGGTAAAGATGATGAAGGGTGATACTTACAACATAAACACTAATATCAGGCCAATCACCACCATGACTGTCAGTGTGGGCACCACATATATAACAACATCTAGGAGATGAGATGATGACAGAAATGATTACATCATGAAGCAGAAATTTTGAACTACATACTGCATGCAATGGAAAGCCCAAATGATAAAAGAAATAGCTTGACTTGCTCATTCTTACTGGTTTTGTCACTGGTAGAGAAGGTGGTGAATCTCCTCGGGCCTTCACCGGCCTCGCTCACTGCGCTCACCCAGGCCTGATACTGCCGGGACGGCTGCAGGTCTGACAGAAGTATACTTGTCCTGGCACTGCTCACGTTAAACATTAAAGCTAGACAGTCCAAAAAGACAAAGATATTTATTTACATCATGCATCTGAATACACATCCTTCCATACAATAATACTGTGGGAAAATATCTGTGTGTGAACAGCATTTGTGAATTCACAGTAGTTCTGGTCACGTTTTTCCACGTTTTTGTCTCTTGTTACAGGTATAGCAGTGGACATTTAAAGTGGATCAAAAGCTTTCATCAATGTTGTCCTGAAACCTAAAAAAAAGTGCTGTCTAAAAGAGATAGTTCATTCAAAAATGAAAATGTACCGAATATTTAGTCACCCTCACTTGGTTTCAAACTTTTATGCATTTCTTTCTTCTGTTGAACACAAAATGAGATACTTTGAAAAATGTTACAAACCTCTAACCCATTGTAGGAGAAACAAATAGCATGAGATTCATTAGTTACAGTTTTTCAGGATTTTTTCAAAATATCTTCTTTCGTGTATGACAGAGGAAAGAAACTCAAACTGGTTTGTGACGAATGTATGATGAGTAAATGATGACAGAATGGTTAATTTTAAATGAACTGTCCCCTTAAGACAAGTAGGAGGAATGTATTTTGACCCACTTCAAATGTTGACTACTGTACACTCATACTTGGCGAGATGCTAATGGTCTAATCCGATTTAATGATCTATGCCTAGCTAAGCTAAAAGTTTTCCCGCCAGGCCCACAGATTGGCTGAATAGATGAAAAAAATGGTAAAACCCATCTGTTTAACTCTAAGGGAGGTTTAAAATGAACCTACACTGTAAAAATATATGCAAATTAGCAGTTTTCCATATTTTGTGATTCATGTTTTTATTTTCCCGCATTTATTTATGCTTTTGAATATCAATATGGGACTTTCAGTTTTCTTCCAACGCCTTTTAACCTTGAAAAGTTTGAAAAAGTGACTTTTCGGAAGATTTTAATAATTTGAAGTGATATATTGTCTGGGTTGGTGTTGTATTTTACGCTATTAAACCTTGTAATAAAATGCCAGTACATTTTCTGTTAATTTACAGACTTATTTCTCTACATATTATTTCTTACACATTACTTCACATTATTATTTCAAACCACTTAAATGTCGCCAAAAGTCACTTTGTTAAACTGTATTGGAATTTTCAACATCAAAAGTCGACAGAACAGAGATCAAGGTGCCATAATGCAATTTACAAACGTAAATAAACGCAGAACACTTCACAATCACAATATATGAAAACATTGTATTTTTTTTTTACAATGCATTTCTTAAAAAAGTGAAGTTTTCCTTCAATATGCACTGTAAAACCTAATAAGCTGTGAAACCTATTGCAGCAAACCATTTAAGTTTGGAAACAAAATGCTTTGAGTACTATAAACTTATATATATTCAATTAATAGAACGAAAAAACTATATACAGTGACTACTCAAATTGTTTGGTATTGCTTCTAGCATTGGAGTTTAGTTAGCACAAAAATATAATTAATTCATTCATTCATAACTCATTACGTTTGAGTTCTGCCTAATATCAGATTAGAAATTAACATTAACTCTTTTTCATAAAGTCAAAGTAGCTTTTTTTAAAATCATAAGTTAAACTAGCTTATTTAATTTAGTGATTTTTTTTGCGGTTACTATTTATATGTCACATGTTTTTAAAACATGGTTTAACAGTTTTATTTCCTATTTCAGAACAAAGTAAACGATCTACAGGTGTGAAATGACTTTACAGGTGATATCATGCCTTACCTGTCTCGTTGATGCCCACTAAGTAATGCAGGATGACACCATTGCTCTCATTCACAGGGATGGGGCTCCATGTCAGAGTCACAGACGAGTGAGAAATGTCCGTCACTTGGATAACTGAAACTTTAGGAGGAACTGCGAGGTGGGGAAGATTAGAAGATGATGTAAACATTGACTTTAGATCGTTAACAAATCTGATTATATGATCTTGCATTTATTAACCAATACTTTATAGCCCAAATCTAGCTAAAAAGTATAAAAAAATAAATATTCTAAATTACACTTTTTCTTGATAGATCTAAGTGGATATTATTAATAGAGTCCTATACAAAACCAGACGACAGTTTTGCAGTTATCACAAATCTAGTTTTTAATATTTTATTAAACAATTCATTTACATTTTAACACTATACTTTGTTATCCCACAACAAAAAGAAACCAACAACAAAAAAACATTGCCATGTCAGTAAGATAGAGATAGTTTCTTCATACAAAAAATAAATAAATTGGTCAGTATTTTCAGCATTTCGTAAAGTTATAGGAACTGTATTTTTATTTTGTCATTATTATAGTCCTTTAAAGGAATAGCAAGCCAAAAATGACAAATGCTGTCATCATTTACTCTCCCTTCACTTGGCCTAAACCTGTTGCTCTTACATTTCTGTTAAACATAAAAGAAGATATTTTGAAAAAGGATGAAAACTGGTAACCATTGACTTGCATAGTGTTTGTTATACCTACAATGGATGTCAATGATTACCATTTTTCAACATACTTCAATAGATCTTCTTTTGAGTTCAATCTCTCACTCAATCACCTTCAGCTTGTTCCCTGCTTTTTAAATGTATTTTTTTTTAATTCGCCATTTTTGGGTGAACTATCCCTTTAAATGAGAGTAAAGAAAGCAGTTTTTGAGGTTTTCCAACATTCTAATTCAAACTTTTAGTGAACTTTGTAATTTGCTTTTTAACAAATCCGAAGGAAAGTGATAGAAAATAGTTTTAAGAGTTCTTACTTAGATATGCTTAGCGTTAATAGCAGGTTTGGCATGTTGTCCCGGGAGAGAAGCCTGAGCTCGGAGATACTTGAGCCCAAGGCTACCACCAAGTCAATAAGTATATAAGGAAATCCGAGATCAGGTAGGTCTCAAGAGCCCCCCCTTGGAAAAGGGAGCAAAGGAGGAGATGGGGTGGAAGGGGGGGTTCTTCCAAAACGAAGATTCATTTTTAGTAAGCTGGGTCACTCGGATTGGATTATTACTGACTACAGATGAGAAGCCAGTCGTGCTCAATCATATCAAATGCTCCTCTCGAAATTTGTTTGTGAAACTTCACTTGTGCACACATGCCTACATGAATAACTCAATTACACGAGCAATATTCACTTAAAAACACTCTTAAAACTACCACAGAAAAATGTGAGAATAAATGGAAATAAAAAAACTAAAAGAAATATATAAATTTATGGAATCACTTAATGTTAATGTGTCCCTGTACCATTAACCAAACTCACAAACTAACTTTAAAACTATTAAACCATGTCTTGAGTATATTAATTATTATTACTCTGTGGTTAATAAATAGCTACACTGTAATAATGACACCTTAGAATAAATTACATTTTAAAATATTTGAAAAAAACTTAATAATATAAATTACTAATTAAAAAGGGAAGTGATAATTAAATATAACGTGTATTTGATTTATCAAATCATATAAATAAAAAAATAAATTTTTTATTGTGTTACATTTATTAATTTATTTTAAATTTCTACAGGTTTGGTGCAGAAGTTAAGACTATAGAAGTTAACCCAAACATAAGAACATCTACTTCTGAGAAGCTTTTAAATGTGAAAAGGGTCATAATACTTCTACATACATCTTTGATAACAAAACAAGTTAAAGGGATAGTTCACCCCAAAATTCAAATGTACTCATCCTCAAGTTGTTCCAAACCTGTTGAACACCAAAAGAAGGTATTCTGAAGCAAGCCAAAAACCTGTAACCCTTGACATCCATAGTAGGAAGAACAAATACTATGCAAGTCAATGGTTACCGGTTTCCATTTTTCTTCAAAATATCTTATTTTGTGTTCGACTGAGGAAAGCTTTGAAACAATTAAAGGTTATCTAAATGTTGAATATAAATCACTAAAGAGGTATACCTTTAAACATACATAACGTTAATTTATCCTTTCACATGTTCAGGTTTTTATTTCTGGTGTTGCTGTTTCACACAATTTGCAAATAAAACATTGTCAGAGAATCATGCAAGTTGACTAATGTATCATGGATTTTTAACATTCTTAAAAATATGTGTACTACCTTTTTGACGAGTGTATGCAATAGATGAATTGAGGAAAGTGCTGTGGTTGTTAAAGATGGCGAAGAGTGACACATTATACGCCATGTAGTCCTTAAAGTCACCTGTGGATGGAGACAAAGTCAAAACTACTGCGAGCATCAGTGGAAACAACAGCTTATCTCTTTTTGATGTTCATAAACCCACCTGTGAGTGTGACAGAGCTCTGTGTTCTGTCTACTCTCAGCCAGTTCAGGCACGGGCGGTCAGGTGCGACAGACACGTGCTGGACTACATACTGCAGGACGCGCTCAGATAACTCCGGCTGAACAGACCATGAGGCCAACAAAGCCTGCTTCTCACTCCTTACATTCAGATGCACCTCAGGTATAGACTGTTCTACAGGGCAAAATATGATACAGTTATAATACTGTTTAATTACATGCTCACATTAAAAACATTTAGCACTTTTTTATGTCTATAAAGAAATCTCTTACGCTCAATAAAGATGTGTTTGTTTGGTTAAAAACAGCAAAAATGGTCATGCTGTCAAATGTTTATTTTTCATTGTTTGGTCATGTTAGTAACTGCATTAACTAACATAAACTAATAAAACCTTATGGAGAGGCTAATAATATTGACCTTAACAGTTGTGAATTTTGATGTTTTGTTGTATTTTCTAGCTAAACTAAAAGAAATAAGACTTTCTCCCAACAAAAAACGAATCAAAAATGACTAATGATTCAATATTTATTAATAGTAATAATGTAAACATTGAAAATAAAGGATAAGTTTGTTGTAGGGTTGTCAGGAAATCATAATTCATGTCACGACACTATACCAGCTGAAGTATCATGAAGTATCAAGTATCGTGATACTGTAATACATAACTCAAATCTATGAAATCAAGCAAATTATCAGAAATACTAGATTTAATATGGTATAGTACATAAATGATCAAACATTATTTTAGTGTACCTGTTGCTTTTTTCCATCTATTGTCCATCAAGAACCCAAAGTAATTCAAATTTCACTTAGTAAGTTGTTCTTTTTAGGAGAGTGTGGCATTCTTGGTAGCTACTAAATCATATTTACAGGAACAGAAATGGACTGATTCAGATGTGTGTTCAAACTGAAGTATCAGACAGTATGTGCAATACCACAAAAGCTGCTAATTCGAAACAGTTTTGCGGACTTAAAGGGCTCCACAGACTGCTCAAGTTAAAATAAAATAAAGTGGCCTATTGTTTATTTGCCGGCACAAATGTGAGTATTTTAGTAACTTTTCCATATGTAACATTAACTATCATACATCCCATAATCAGAAAAAGTTGAGACAGTTTGAAAAATGCAAATCAAAAAAAAAAAAAAGATTTTAAATTTACTTTGATTTGTTTTTCACTGCAGACAATACAAACACAAATATTTCAGGTACTTGACTGGCCTGCATGCAGTCCCAACCTGTCTCCAATAAAGAATGTGTGGCACATTTTGAAGCGCAAAATGCGACAACGAAGACCCGGTACTTTTGCCCACCTGATGCGTTTGCAGACTTGGTGTCTTTAGCCCCTAAATGTCTTTTAAGTCTTGTGAAAAAGAATGATAACATTACAAAGGGGTAAATGCTTTACTGTTTCAACTTTTTTTAAATGTATTGCAAGAACCAAAATTGGAATATTGGTTTATTTTGGAAAAAAAAAATCATGAGAAACACATTAGATCACAGGTATCAAACTCAGTTCCAAAAGGGCCACAGCTTCGCACAGTTTAGTTCCAACCCTAATTAAACACACCTGATCAAACTAATTGAGTCCTTCAGGCTTGTTTGAAACCTACAGGTAAGTGTGTTGGAGCAGGGTTGGAACTAAACTGTGCAGGGCTTCGGCCCTCCAGGAATAGAGTTTGACACCCCTGCATTAGATAATGTTTTTTATATTGTCTGCAATGAAATAAAAAACAATGTAAAATTCAGAAATCTCTACTTTCTTTTTTAGTAGTATTTTCCATACTGTCCCAACTTTTTCTCATTTGGGGTTGTAGAACCATTAATGACAATACTACCTTTTACAAACTACAGTGGCACCATCAGTATTTAGTAGCCATAGTATTGCAGCACTACCATAGTAGCAGTAAACCATATAACCCTACTTTTTTTTTTTACATACCCCTCTCAGGAAATGGCATGAGTGTGGGGTCGGATGTGCCCATTGAGGTGCTGGCAGACACAAAAACCCCCACAACGCTGGGTTTTAAAGGGAAGTGTCTGAGCTGTGGGCAGCTGTGTTCAGTGCGATGCTGGTTTCCAGCGTCTCTCTTCTGCCTCGCAACCTGCTTAATCTCAGTGCCATTTTTAAGCGTCAGCGTTACAATATAACTCGTAACTTCCCCTCGAGCCTGAGACAGGGGCATTTCCTGAGACAGGAAAGAATAGACAGAAACATTTCAAAAGCACATTCATAATGTACTGAACCTTTTGAACGGTAGCAAAGTTAAGTAACTAAGTTATAGGAGCATAATCTACCTTCCAATAAACGTTACAAGATGATTTGTCAGAATTAGGTGCGCAGTCACTCCAAACATCCAGCTGTCCAACTGGAGCTATTGAAAACATATGAGAAAAGAAAAAGTCTTTGTCAGTTTTTAGTTGGAATTAGGGCTGCACGATATTAGAAAAATCTGACATTGCATTTAGTAAAATTTCACCAGATGGGTTAAAAAGCTCTATTGGGTAAGATTTCAGGTGCAGAGATAGAATCATCAAATGCAAAATAGCATTGCATAGTCTTCATTGTGTAAATAATTAACTCACTATTATTTTATTATTTATCAGGGGTCGCCATAGCGGTGTTTAGGTCACAATTCAAGGTTTTAACAAACCATTAACTAACATTACTTGTTCAAGAAACTACTAATTAGCTCTTTATTAATAGTTAGTAAGGCAGAAGTTGGGTTTAGGTAACAAATTTAATTTAGTAATGGTCAACTTTGGTCAAGTTTGTTTAAAATCAGCCCATATAAATTGTTTGCAACCACTTACCTTAAAAATATTTTGTAAATCCAACGAATCTATTTTTAGTGTAGGATTAGGGATGGATAATACTTTAGATCTACTTATGAACAGGTAATATCTTAGCAGGTAATAAGCTAACAGTTAATAGCATATATTGTGACCCAAACTAAAGTGTTACCAAAAATGAGAACGCAATCAGGAATAAACATATAAAACAAACCCTTTTATATTTCTGTTTTGATTTACTGTCAGTCTCATGCACTCAGATGATGCAGATTTGTAGGTCAGAGTTTACCAAACAGCAACATACTACGTCACAAGAGCTTGTGTTTTTCTGTCTGATGTATTCGCACACGTGAACGAAAGCATATGGGTCAAAAGGTGCGATGTTACTGCACTTTAATTCTTCTTGGTACAACAAATGCAAATTTTTTTTGGCTTTTTATACACAACATTTGTCAAAATAAAATAAAATGAAATAAAATAAAATAAAATATAAAATAAAAATATTTTTGTATTGTTTATCATAGCAGTTCATTTAACAGAAATTATTTTGTTTGATACTGTTAACTTGCCTAGTAAATCTAATTATGCTAGTTAAGCCTTTAAATTAACTTTGCTGAATACTAGTATCTTGAAAAATATTTAGTAAAATATTATGTACTGTCATCATGGCAAACATAAAATAAATCAGTTATTAGAAATGAGTTACTAAAACTATTATGATTGAAAATGTGTTGAAAACTAATCGTCTTTTGGGGGCGAGGCAGTGTCGCAGTAGGTAGAGCTGTCGCCTCACAGCAAGAAGGTCGCTGGGTTGGTAGTTCGAACCTTGGCTCAGTTGGCATTTCTGTGTGGAGTTTGCATGTTCTCCCTGCCTTCGCGTGGGTTTCCTCCGGGTGCTCCGGTTTCCCCCACAGTCCAAAGACATGTGGTACAGGTGAATTGGGTAAGCTAAATTGTCCGTAGTGTATGAGTGTGTGTGTGGATGTTTCCCAGAGATGGGTTGCGACTGGAAGGGCATCCGCTGCATAAAAACTTGCTGGATAAGTTGCCGGTTCATTCAGCTGTGGCGACCCCGGAATAATAAAGGGACAAAGCCGACAAGAAAATGAATGAATGAATGACAAATCGTCTTTCCGTTAAACAGAAATTGGGGGAAAAAATTAACTCAGGGTTTATAATATAGGGGACTAATAATTCAGAGGACTTCAACTGTTTGCAGGTACTTTTAGAATTAGAAAATATAGCATTTACTTGATGTCCACCGATTAAACACTGATGAAATACTGCACACTGATGAGAGAAAACCTAGATATTCACAGAGCTTTTAGAGAGATACATAGAATTGAAGATTTAAATTAAATTTAGTTGCTTTATTTTTGAGGTTTAGTGGAGGCGGCTTATATTTGATCCAAAGGTCAAACGTTGTATACAGAAGGGTTAAAACCAGGATTTTAACAGGGGCGTTGCTAGACCAAAATATCGCCAGTGCCCCAGAAAATGCGATAAATGAGATATGATTTACTTCATAAGCAAAGTGTGTTTATTAAGAGTGGTAATCTGGGAATAAAGACTTTATTCTCTATGTGAAACCGAACCAAAGCTGGTGAAAGCAATGTGTTTAATCAAAAAGCAAACTGACGCATCTCTGCATGTGCGCAGTGAACCATACCCGCGCGTTTCACACACTGCTTTTGCTGGACCCTGACTCGCTGCTCTTCTCCCGGTGTGAGTTCCGGTTGTGTACATGCACGTCAAATAGTACTTGCTGCTCACGCGCCGCCGTTATAACATCCTTTATGCGTAGGTGACCGCACATAGTGAGTTTTTCAAGTCGACAAAGTTTTAATAATATAATGGTGATCTTATTTAGACTAAGCTCCTGATAGATTTTTTTGTTTGAAGTAAAAAGGAGGGATGACGAGTCAGGGAAGTAATACTTAATTAACCTAATTCTCTGCCATGTCAAGTCTAAAACAACAGATAATTCTATGAAACATCTTTTTTGTTTTGAAATGTCTATAGAATTTCATAGAAAGGAAACTATTAGTCATGTAAAGATTTCTTAAATGATCTTAGCATCACTCCAGTTATGTCTTTACACTGTTTTCCAGTTACATTTAGGATTAATTTATGTGATTTATTTAGAATAATAACTGCATAATAACAGTAATACCTTTATGTATTTATAATAAATATTTTATTTCTATATATTTTGTGTATATATATATATATATATATATATATATATAAATTTTTTCTTGATTTGTCTTTTTTTTGAGGGGGCGTGCCCCAGTAGAGCTAGGAACACCCCTGGCTAATAATAAGATTCAAGACCATCCAAATGACTAGATGGACAATAAGTGACTGCAGTGAGGTGTGTGGGCTTTTCTGACCTGCAGGAGGCGTGCGCACTGAATACACTGAGCTCCAGTTACTCATGACTTTCTCTTCATGTCCACAGTGGCAGCGAACGCGAAAACTGTACTGAGTGAACGGCTGTGGATCCTCTATTCGAAACATGCTCTGGCAATCATCCACCTGCACAAAAATGATTCAAAGGTGTGACGACTGGTTTGATTCTGTTGTTGACATTTATCTTAAACAACATGCTTAATGATGGATACTCTGAACTATCGCTTTAACCAGGATTAAATCTCTGACCTTAAATGACTCATTTATCTTAGATTGTATCTTTATAGATTGCATCTTTAAATATAGTATACTTGTCACATTCGCAATCAAACTCACTACGAGATGTAGTGAAATGCTTTTTACCACTGTCCTAGTTACACTAAAATTCAGACTTACAACATTTTCAAGGTAAGTGGTTGCAAACTGTTTATATGGGCTGAATATAAATAAACAACAACTTAATTTGTTTGTTTAAACTCAGCCCATATGCTTGTTTGCAATCGCTTACCTTATAAAAATTTTGTAAATCCAATGAATCATTTTTTCAGTGTATTCATAAAGTGTACAGACATGCATTGTAAATTGTATAAACAGAACAATTAACAATAACATATATATATATATATATATATATATATTTTAATTTATATATCATATTATATAATAAAACATATAATATAAACATGACAAGAATACATTTTTTAATTGAAAATCCCACAATCCTACAAATGTGGCTCAATACTGAAACTTAGGAGAATGAGGAGTCGCACACATGAACACAATGACATTGGACTTGACTTAAAAATGTGGAAATATACACACAGATGTTGCAAATCCTTTTGCTTTTGTCAATTGCTTTTACCTCGGTCCAGTCTAGCATGTGATTTTGCATGTGGTATTGCACGTGACACTCATCTAATGTGCCCATAATGTCACAGTCCATGTCCCAGAAGATTTCCAGTGGTGTAAACATGTGGGTCATATTGTATGGGGGGTCTGGCCGCCCTGAAGAGAGAGAGAATAAAAGAAAAGTTTACACAGTTTTGTCTGTATCCGAGACTCAAAAGTTTATAACTGAACAGCCTGATCTCACGAGGAAACGTAACGGTATTATGTTTTGGCAGTTTGGTGGCTAATTCGTACAAGTTCAGTGTAGGCATGGGATGATAAGCGATTTCAAGGTATACCACGGTTTGGAAAAGTCAAGGTTTTAAAACCGTCAAAGTTTTCTGTTATAACATTCCTAAGGTATTCGTAAGTTTTTTGGTTTGTTTTGTTTTTTAAATGTCTTTCAAAACTATTTTATTTAGTTTTTTAGGGCAACAGTATCTTCAGCAGAAAAGGAACTTCTACATCAAAAGCTACTGGTCCAAAATATCTTAAATGTTTCATTCATTCATTTTCTTTTCGGCCTAGTCCCTTTATTAATCTGGGGTCGCCACAGCGGAATAAACCTCCAACTTATCCAGCACATGTTTTATGCAGCGGATGTCCTTCCAGCTGCAACCCATCTCTGGGAAACATCCATACACACTCATTCACACACATACACTACTGACAATTTAGCTTACCCAAATCACCTGTACTGCATGTCTTTGGACTGTGGGGAAACCGGAGGAAACCCACGCAAACACGGGGAGAACATGCAAACTCCACACAAAAACGCCAACTGACCCAGCCGAGGCTCGAACAAGCAACCGTCTTGTTGTAAGGCGACAGCACTACCTACTGTGCCACCGCATAGCCATTTTAAATGTTTCTTAAAATAAAATATATTGTGTTCAATGGGGGAACATTCTTTTTTACCCAGACATTTAAAAAAAACTTATTTTGGAGCAGCAATCACAATACCGTGAAATCGTGATATTTTTATCCAAGGTTATAATACCGTCAGAATCTTATACCGGCCATGCCTACTTCAGTCGAAAATGTATGCTTTTAAAAAGGAGGCGTGGCATCCAATCCCACCCCTAAACTCAACTATCAATAGAGGATAAGCATTTCATACTAAATTGTATGAAAAATATTGCACGATTTCATACAAATTAGACAGTAATTCAAAAAGTTACGAATTGCCATGAGAGAGCGCGTTGGACTGAATGATTAAAAAAACAGTACACATTTTTACAAATTATGAAACTATTCAAATTATTGAATTAACAGTATTGAATTAATTATTTATTTGGTTTAATATATTAGTATATTACTTAAATAGTTATTTATTCCTGTGATGACAGCTAACCTTTCAGCCACATTACTTCAATCTTAAGGTGGCAGTTCATCCAAACACGACAATTCTTTCATCATTTAAAAAACTGTTTTAGAAAGCACCATTAAATGATGACTACTTTAATTTTTAAGAAAACTATGCCTTTAGATGTCAAATGACCCTACAGAAATCCAGCAATATGATGATTTGACTCTCAAGACATCTTTGTTACATACAGTAGTGAACATTTGAAGAGGACAAAAACCAAAGTTTTTCTAAAACTATTGAACAAAACCCATTTGTGTATTAGGGTAATTAAAAAAAATGTTTTTGATCCGCTTCAAATTTTGACTACTGTATTCATACATAATCAACATAATAACTAAAAACACTTGCACTGCTTAGTATTTTAAATGTATTAAATACTGTTTTACTTCATTCATTTACTTTGCAGCTTGGTCCCTTTATTAATTCACCACAGTGAAATTAACTGCCAACTTATCCAGCATATGTTTTACTCAGCGGATGCCCTTCCAGCTGCAACCCATCACTGGGAAAAGCAAAGGACCTCAAGCCGGGAATCAAACTCGGGTCTAACTTGCAATATGAAAAATTTAAATGACTAACTGTGATAATTAATTTATTCATTCATTCATTTTCCTTTGACTCGATCCCTTTATTAATCAGGGGTCACCACAGTGGAATGAACTGCCAACTTATACAGCATATGTTTTACACAGCGAATGCCCCTCCAGCCCCAACCCATCACTGGAAAACATTGTTTTGTAAAAGCCTTTACAGTCTATTCATGTTAAAGGAATGTATCCTTGTTGAATAATTATTAAATATGTTAATATAATTTCTTATTGACCCCAAATGCTGAATAATACATGAAAGAAGAGTATAGTGCAGGGGTCACCAATCTCGTTCTTGGAGGTCCGGTGCCCTGCAGGGTTTAGCTCCAACTTGCCTCAAATCACCTGCCTGGGTGTTTTAAGTATACCTAGTAAGACCTTGATTAGCTTGTTCAGGTGTGTTTGATTAGGGTTGGAGCTAAAATCTGCAGGACACCGGCCCTCCAGGAACAAGTTTGGTGATCCCAGGTAAAGAGGTTTTTTTTTTTTAAACATTTATTGAATAGAATAATCAGAACCAAACCAAAAAAAATAAAAATCTAACAATGGTTTGCAGTAGATTAAACATGACTTACTGATATGGCCTGTGTTGAAGACAGATTCTTCAGACCGCGCATAACCCAAAACGTTTCTAGCAGTGACCCATACTGTCATCTGAGTGCCTTTTGTGTACTTGTCACGGTTAATGATGGCCATTTCACAATCACTCTCTGCAGAATTTACGTTCCTACACACAAAACAATGCTCAAATCAATGTCTTTATATAATATACAGGAAGCAACAGTAAAAAAAAATAAATAAATAAAAATAAAAAAAACTATCTCACCCTTCATAATCTTGCCAATGAAGAGTGTACACAGTTGTAATCATCGGCTCATCAGATATAGTCCAGGAGCAATAAATATCTTCTTTAACCAGGTCTTCGATAACACAATTAGGGTGGGATGGGGGAGACGGTGGATCTGCAAAAGATGAAACAATGTTCTAATGGGATGCCAACAAAAAAGTAATTTAAAAACTAGTGAAATAAACAACAAACAATCCAACACAATGTGCTGCAAGAGCCTCATTACTCTTAACACACACAAAAAAAAAACAGGAAGTCATGTGGAGAAATCTGCAAAAGCAAGCCACAAGGGTGTTGCACACTTCCACTTCTTGACTAATTTTGGACAGAATCTCAGAGCACACTCAGAGCACATGCATTATTCAAAGAAAGTTTTCCATTGAAAAAAAAAAAAAAAAATCAATAAATCGAGCTCTCTTCTCAAATGAAACGAAAACATCAAAATGGCCTGCATTAATTCATGCCTTGATTCTCTGGATGAATCGAATCAACTCTGTAGAACCTCTTTTTTGCTGCCTTATAGTTTTTTGTTGAATTAACTTAACTTTTCAATTCATCTGAACTTACATCAACCAAAGTGACTAAAAATATTACCTCAAACTTAAATATTAGTAAGGGATTAGTTAGGGCTGCATGATAAAAAAAAAAAAAAAAAAAAAAATCTGACGTTGTGATAAATATTTTTTCTGCGATTTGTATTGTGATATGAATGCAATTTCACCATATAGTTTATTATAGGACTGCAAAATATATCGTTTCAGCATCGATATCGCAATGTGAGAATCTGCAATAGTCACATAGCAGTAGTCAAGCAATTATTTATTCATTCATTTATTTTATTTTTGGCTTAGTCCCTTTATTAATCAGGGGTCCCCACAGTAGAATGAACTGCTAACTTATCCAGCATATGTTTTACACAGCGAATGCCTTTTCAGCTGCAACCCATCACTGGGAAACATCCAAACACACTTATTCACATACATACACTACGGACAATTTAGCTGACCCAATTCAATTGTACCATATGTCAGGACTTGTGGGGAAAACCGGAGCACCCGAAGGAAACCCACGCAAATATGAAGGAAACTCATGCGAATATTTGGAGAACATGCAAAATTCACACAGAAATGCCAACTGACCCAGCCGAGGCTCGAACCAGCGACCTTCTTCCTGTGAGGCAATCGAGCTACCCACTGCGCCACCATGGCGCCTTTATTAATTTCTCTCTTATTTACTTGTTTTTGGTACATCAAAACATATAGTTACCCTCCGACAAGCCAATTCAGCAAAGACTTGTGGGGAAAACCGGAGCACCCGAAGCAAACCCACGCGAACATGGGGAGAACATGCAAACTCCACACAGAAATGCTAACTGACCCAGCTGAGGCTCAAACCAGTGACTTCTTGTGAGGCCATCGTGCTACCCACTGCGCCATCGTGACACCCTTATTTATTTAATTATGTTTTAATGGCATATCAGCAGCACTGGCTATATTCATGGCAAAACATACACTAAACATACAATTTATTTCATACAATCATATCAGTTTTTTAACAAACATACATTGTACAATAAAAAAACAACAAAAAACATACAAATAATGATAACACTGAGGAGAGTCATATACAATCTTTTTGTCAAGCAATTAAAAAAATAACTTAAACCATTTGGACACAAGAAATTACAAAGTTTGTACTCTAACAAAAGATTAAATGTGCTTAATTATACACTCTGTGGTGTTATTTTACATTTGATTATTCAATTTCTTAATACTGTGTTTACAGAGAAGCATAAAGGGCTGTTTATTTAATGTTTTACCTTTGTTCTATTGTTTTTATCTGTCATTTAAATTTTTTTATCCATATATATATATATATATATATATATATATATATATATATATTTTTTTTTTTTTTTTTTTTTTTTTTAGAAATTTGTTCATTTTATGCAGATTCACTACCCTAAAAAAATCATCACAATCAGCGTAACACTATGAATACATTTACAAATGCTTCTGAAATTAAATTCACAATATTATCTCCATATACATTTATAGTAAAATCTATATATTTATAATATACAGTTTTTTCAAATATCGTGCAGTTCTATTTTGCAGCACTATTTTGGAGCGAAATCTTAAATTTAATCTGGTTATAGTTATTTTGTAGAGGAATGAATCATGGATAACAAATAATAAACAAATTGCAGGCAAAAATAAATACAACAGAGCAAAAAGTAAAACAAACAGTGTTATGGTTTTCTAGAGTGTCAAACAGCATTCAGGTACAGAAATCGAATATTTAAATACAATGTGAAATAATAATGTATAGACATAGTATTACTAAATAAGTGGAATTATTGTTTACTAACGGACAAATGGTGTATTTTTGTGTGCGCAAATACTTCAATCTCTCTTGAATTGCCTTTAAAACACATGCAAATGATAAACGTTCACTCTGTTTTGGGTGCTGATCAACTTTAATCCAAAGCAACATTGCAAAGTCTATGCATTGTTGTTCTACATTTTACATTACATTTATATATAATCGATTTCTGTACCTGAATACCGTTTGACACTCCAGAAAACCATAACACACTGTTTGTTTTGGCTTTTTTCACCACTGGCTTGCTTGGTTTTGAACTTGTGGAGCTGCGCATGGATGGATTTGCTCTTCAGTGTTTGGACTTTCAGCAGTGAAAATTAAACCACACTGAACTGAACTAAACTGAACTATGAAAACTGGACTTTACTAGATCTTCTATAATATGCTGATTTAACACAATATACACTCCAAAAAGCTCTATATAAATAAACATGAACTGAATATCCTGCTATGTGACTATTGCGCACGCACACACATTGCGATATCGATGCTGAAAAATATATTGTGCACTCCTTTTTAAACGTTAATAATTTACAGATCAACATTCAGTTTTTTCCCAAATGAATCAAACTAGAAACCATACACTTTATCAGTTTCTGCATTTGCTGTCAATCACACCAACGTTGCGCAAAACATTCATCAATGCCTACAACCTAAAAGCTACAGCACAAGGCATCCAAGGATTTTGCTATAGTAATTCTGTCATTCATAAATATTACTAAATTAAGCTGAAAGTTCCAAAGATTAATCAAAAATTATAAATAAAGCTTATTTTCTAGAGAAAATGTATGCATCAGGTGAGCATATAACTTATACCAAGAAACATTCCTAGAACCCCCCAAAAAACAAGGTCATTTAAAGGTAATTGGTCAAATTCTGTTGTACTCACAGCCTCCTTGTGCTTTCACATTGCAGGTACTTCCACTGCATGAGCAGTTAATGTGCTCTCTATGCTCTACTGGAATAGAAAAGCTGAAGGTTTCAGTGGAGTTGGCACATGTGCTGGTTAACTGGTGCCCCGACGTGATAACATGAAGTTGGCAGAGATCACACTTGTATGCTCTTCCCTGTGCACTTGTATGGCACAAAACAGACACATCGCGATCCACAGGAAGGGCTTGATTCCACCAGCAGTTTACATCCACTTCAAATGCGAACAAGCCTGAACAAATACAAACACAAAGGGTGACGGAAACAGGTTGAGGCAAGGTTACGTTATGAACTTTGTTACATAAAACATATGGAAATACAATTTATATATATATATATATATATATATATATATATATATATATATATATATATATATATATATATATATATATATATATATATATATATATATATATATATATATATATATATATATATATATATATTCAATCCAATTAAATATATAGCTGACCACTTGGTTGGTTTGCCTATAGGCTACAGTTTTTATTTTAAAACTAATTTTAACAGATTTTTACAAATGATGGGTAAGTTATTTTTTATGCTAATTTCATGACATTATTTTTAAAACTGAGATAACTTACAATTTTTAATGCACATTTGTAAATATATACCTTGTAATACACTAGTGGGCCTACTGTAAGCACCGACAAAATTGTAGGATTTTTTTTGGTACAAGAAAAATTATGGTTACCCTTCGACAAGCTAATTCAGCAAAGATTGTTTAAAATATCACTAAAACGCAGTTTTTAAACCTCATAACTGTATATAAAATGAGGCAGTAACTGCAAAAAGGTTCACTTTTTGAGGAAAAAAGAACCACCTCTTTCAATAGGCTGGCTACTTGCTTGTACTGTGTACTGGGACAGATGCCAACAGAGTGGATTGGGGTTAAGTTGGCTTTAAGTTACTTTCAGACATTCTCATTAATAATATCATTTCAGAAAAGTATTCTTTGCTCATTTTAAATGGGGAAATCATATTAGCAGCAAATAGCTATCAAAGTACAACGTTTTTCACATTTAATTAAATAGAGCCAATGTTGTTTACTTGCATGAAAGTCAGACTTACAGGCCGAATATTCATAGTAGTGGTAAACATAAGGACCATGTCACAAGTTGTCAAATGTGCAAATGTAAAACCAAAAATTAAGTGGCACGTGCCGCAAATGCTGCTAGAACTTTCATTTAAGTACATTTTTCAACTAAGAGCGTAGTTTTTGTCTGAAATTGGTTTAAAACACTTAAAAAAGTTTTTCTGTTAAAGTTGTGGCTGTGCCTTCTATTAATAACGTACATAAATATACAAGTATTTAGAAATAAATACTAATTCCTTTAAGATACAAAGTCCATATTCGAGAATAAACTTTTATTTAGCTCACCTTGAGAGCATATCCACATGTTCAGTAGTAAAAGAAAATGCAGCTTAGCATTCTGCCATGCCATCACTCACGGCATTCGCGTAGCCTATGTAAAAACTCCAGTATGACGCAACGTCCCGTTAACCGAATGGTTCACTCGTTTACGGAATGTCCACGGGCGGGCATTCAATTCTTTGCTTCCTTCTGAAGTGACATCGCTGACCATCAGAAGCAGCACGGAGGTTCTTCGGTAATCTTCTCAAATTATTTAACGTTAAAAGTTTTAGCTTTATTTTCTACATGCTATAAACAGCACTTTCCATACCCGCTGATATCGTTCCTTCATTCTCTCATAGACCAGGTTTACTTTATGCACTGCGTGGTTAAAACCTGAGAAGCTCGATCTCGCTTCTGATAAACACCCGTCCAGCCTAACCATAAGGCTCCGCCCACACCCCGTACGTCGAGGACGCAGAGACAGTTGACCAATCAGATCAACGATACGTCTCGGCACGTTTGTTTTAAGAGATGAACTTTTAGCGGAAACCGCGGCACTTTACAGCAAGTTTCAATACACCACGCTTCCTGAGCCCAGCTCACTAACTGACTGTACCAAAGAGGTTGTTATCATCAGATAAAAACGCGTGCTTTGTGTCGTAAGGACTAACTGGAGTTTTACTCACGTCAAAAACAATACTTAGCAAGAACAAATCCAATTGATAACACTGTTTAAAGGCTATATTAGATATTCAAGGTAACTTTTATGAGTCATATGCTAAAAAACTTTTTATTTTGCATTTGCGGTGCATTTCACGTTTTTACTCATAGTTTTTAACTGGACAGATTGTCAAATATGGTAAATATACAATTAGAGATTAGTCATAATTCCCACATATCATGCAAATGGCCTTCTTAAGAAGATTGGACAGTGTACATAAATTATTAGCATCCCCTTTGGAAGGTTTTGATTCACTTATAGATATGTGATTAATGCATTTATATTATCTTAAATGAGTGAGCCACATGGCGAGGCAGTGGCGCAGTAGGTAGTGCTGTCGCCTCACAGCAAGAAGGTCGCTGGTTCGAACCTCAGCTCAGTTGGCGTTTCCGTGTGGAGTTTGCATGTTCTCGCTGCCTTCGCATGGGTTTCCTCCGGGTGCTCCGGTTTCCCCCACAGTCCAAAGACATGCGGTACAGGTGAATTGGGTAGGCTAAATTGTCTGTAGTGTGTGTGTGTGTGTGTGTGGATGTTTCCCAGAGATGGGTTGCGGCTGGAAGGGCATTCGCTACGTAAAAACTTGCTGGATAAGTTGGCAGTTCATTCCGCTGTGGCGACCCCGGATTAATAAAGGGACTAAGCCGACAAGAAAATGAATGAATGAATGAAGTAAGCCATACCACAGCAATAATATGGCAATTTTTTTGTATATAAATATTTTAAAGCGAAACAAATTCTGTGCTTCAAAGTATTCGAGAACTCATTCATTTCCCTTCAGCTTAGTCCCTTTATTCATCAGGGTTCACCACAGCAGAATGAACTTATCCAAAATGAACTGCTTTACACAGCAGATGCCCTTCCAGCTGCAACCAAGTACTGGGTCCATACACACTCATTCACACACTTGCATACAGCAAGATTAGTTTACCAAATTCACCTATTGTGCATGTCTTTGGGCTGTGGGGGAAACCGGAGCACCAAGAGGAAACCCACGTGACCACGGGGAGAACATGCAAACATCACACAGAAATGCCAACTGACCCAGCCGAGGCTCGAACCAGTGACCTTCTTGCTATGAGGCGATCATGCTACCCACTGCTCCACCGTGATGCCCCCATGATGGTGTAGTGATCAGCGGTAAAGCCAGGAACTTGTGGAAATCAATTTCCAATATAAACAAATGCTGCAGAGTTAACACTAAACTCTGACCCTTTTCTTAAGCTCATCAGAAAGTGGCAGTTGAGACAGTGACCATTTGTCTTTTGTTTATCTGAAAGACAAAGGTGTTAAGAGCCCAGGACTTGCTTCTTGATCCAATCAACTTTTGACATCGTCTCAAACTCAGAGATACACATGGATCAGTAAACTTGCATGTCACAAAAGAGACACAAATGGAAAATTTCACTTCATATACCTGTATATTCAAATGATCATGTATATATTTAATATGCACTGCTTGAAATACTTCACTGTATGAAACTTTGCTTATTAAGGTTTATATATGAATGCTTGGGTAAAGATCAACATTACATAGCGATGTTTAGACTCTATCTATTCCAAATAATGCCTTGGGTAAATTAGATGTGGTTTGGAAAGTGAAATATGCATAGGAAAATATTTAAGACTCTTAAATATTATTATAGTTAACCAGTGGACTATGACTATGCAAATGCAGGCCACATTATAGATGACACCTCCCAGTGACCAACTCACAGGATCATCCAATCACAATGCTGGATTTGAAAGGTGACATCCTTCAATCCCGCCTTCCAGAGAAAGTATTAAAGACATTGTCTTGAATAAAGAAGGCCTGTAAAAAGTCTGTTAAGTGTGGGTCCTAAAGAGTGTGTCCTAAAAGGTGGTCGAAGAGTGGTCAAAGTGTGGTTCATGGTGGTTTGCGGGGTTTTGTCCTAGACATCAGACCTTTTGCTGCGTGTTCCAGCAAGGATTTGGTAATTGGATTCACAGTGCTTTTTCCAAGGCGTATGAACCATCGCATCAAGGCCACCACCTCCAAAAATCTGCGTGTCCCAGATTTCCAGGAACTCTACCTTCAAAGAAAAGGCATCGGCGTGTTCCCAGCATCGAACCACCACCTCTAGAAATCTCCAATTTCTGCGTGTTCCAGAAGATACCGATTTCTACGCTCAAGGATAAAGACGTCGGCGTGTTCCCGACATCAGACCATCACCTCCAGAAATCTCCAATTTCTGCGTGTTCCAGAAGATACCGATTTCTACGCTCAAGGATAAAGACGTCAGCGTGTTCCCGACATCAGACCACCACTTCTAGAAATCTCCAGTCTGCGTGTTCCAGAAACTAGATTTCTTCCACTCAAAGCTCAAGAGAGCCAAGTCTGCTCGTTTCATGCTTCAAGATCTGCAGGAAGATCCAACTTCTTCCATCCACTGCATCAAAGGCAGAAACGTAAATATTCCACTTTCCAACCCTTTAAATTAGACCTTGGCATAGTGTGTTTCAGTATAAAATATTCTAATTAATTAGATGTTTAAAACTGATATTCTTTAATAACAAAAACTTGCTCAGTTCTTTGTTATTGTAAAATAAGGTTTACCTTACCTTAACTTAATCACCTTCATCACTCGCCTATGCACTTCATTTATTGTACATTTAGTAATTGTAGTTACCCTTGATTAGTATTTTGTTAATAAATACACCTTTATTACAATTGTGTCTTCCTTGTGTTGATAATACAGAAAAAGGCTCTACAAGTCAAACGATCTCATTATCCTTCAGATTTAGCCAGATAATAAACTCCTCATTTGTATAATTTAACTAACAATACTTTATTGTTAATTATTTTGACAGTGGAAAGCTGTCTGGTGCCCCGTTTAAAAGGAGTTAGTTATCTGTTATTTCTACATTATTTGGTGCCCCATGTGAGGCTAAAATATCAATATTAATATCAATACCTAAGATATTGATTTTAATATTTGATAAATCCAATTATCACTACATTATTTGGTGCCCTGTGTGAGGCTAAAATATCAATATTAATATCAATACCTAAATATTGATTTTAATATTTGATAAATCCAATTATCACTACAATGGTGATTAATAATAGTATTAACACGAGTAAAAACTTCAGGTGGACAGCGCCAAATTATTACTTACAGATATCAGTACTAGTATAGTGTTGTTTAGTATTCACTAGTCAAAGACATTCTAAAAGTTAATATGCACCAATTTGCATACATTTCCCAAACAGAAATGAACTTTTCATAAAGATACGGTTCAAACTAACTGTTTCATTCTGTTGACCTTGCAGAGTCAAAGTTTTTGCAGAGGGGATTTTGATCAATCTTATCACTTGATTTTTTTTTTTAGCTTTCTAGAAAATACTGTGACCGACTAAACAGTTTTCGCCTCTAATGTGTTGCCTTGCAATTGTTCTTCATTGTGCAGCTGAGGGTAAAATATTAGCACTCCTATGAAAATGTTGATAAAATATATATTTGAAAAAGGGCGACACAGTGGCTCACGGGTTAGCACTGTTGCCTCACAGCAAAAAGGCTGCTGATTAGAGTGAATGGAGTTTGCATGTTCTCTCTGTGTTTGTGTGGGTTTCCTCCGGGTTTCCCCCCAGTCCAGAGACATGCGCTATAGGTGAATTGAATAAACGAAATTGGCCATAGTGAAAGAGTGTGTTTGGGTGTTTCCCAGTGTTGGGTTGTGGCTGAAGGGCATCCGCCATGTAAAAACATATGCTGGATATGTTGGCGTTTCATTCCCCTGTGGCGACCACTGATTAATAAAGGGACTAAGCCGAAAAGAGAATAAATAAATGAATGAATATTGGAAAAAGTTAGACAGTGGCTCAGGGGGTTAGCACTGTCGCCTCACAGCAAATAGGTAACCGGTTTGAGTCCTGGCTGGGTCAGTTAGCATTTTTGTGTCGATTATGCATGTTCTCACTGTGTCACTCCGGTTTTCCCCCACAGTGCAAAGACATGCGCTATGGGTGAATTGAATAAACTAGATTGGCCGTAGTGTATGAGTGTGTATGGATGTTTCCTAGTACCGAGTTGCTGCTGGAAGCGCATTCGATGTGTGAAACATGCTGGATAAGTTGGCGGTTCATTCCGTTGTGGTGACCCCTGATGAATAAAGGGACTAAGTTGAAGTAAAAAGATTGAATAAATGAATATATTTAAAAAATAGCAAGTGATGTTTAATGGAGCATGGAAAATTTCACAGTATTTATTTATTTTTTCTCAAAAACTCTTATTTATTTTAGTTTGGTTGGAATAAAAAGGTTTTTAAAATATTATTTAGGGTCATTTTTTGATTGGCTACATAACAAACAACTGTTTTCCAATGATTTGCCTATAGTTAGCCTAATTAACCTAATTTTAGTTAAATAGCACTTTAGGCTAAACACTATAGTATCTTGCAAAATTACTAGTAAAATGTTATGTACTGTCATCATGACAACGACTAAAGAATCTTGTAATTATAAATTATTTATCAAAACTATTCAGTGGTGTAAAGAAACAAATTACAAATACCCAAATTACTGTAATTGAGTAGTTTTACTCAGGTATTGTACTTTTAAAAATGTGTACTTTTACTTTCCTTTGAGTACATTTTTAGTGAGTATCAGTACCTTGACTCCATTACTTTCCATCAACTTGAAGTCCTGTGATTCCCGTCCAATCAAATTGCACATACAAAGTAAATCGCATCATACTGAACTACCTCAAAACATTTTAAATGCAGCTAACTGTTTGGAAGTATTGAAAGTGTCTAAGAAGATGTCCAAAATCTTTACACACAATGACTCAGAGTCTGTTTAGACTGATGTCACTGATGGGAAGATGACGCATGTTTACTGTAGCACATTATGATTTTGCGATCCTGGATTAACATCTATGTTTATCCTGCAACATCATTTTTGTTCGAAAATGTCATCCATACCTAATTTCTACCCCTAAACCCAACCATAACTGTGAATTATTCCCGAAATCAGAGGGGAGTAATAGTTGGATAGCACTCATGTAGAAGTGCATAAGCCTAAAACTTGACATAAACAGTAAACATATCCTTTAATTCTGATTGGCTAATTGAAATGTTGTTTCAGTATCAAGGTAGATGTTAATCTAGGAACATACTTGGTGAAATCAGGTTGTTGAATTACCGAAATATCCTTAAACCTTCACTAAATGCACTACAGAATGTTACGTTTACATACACATCCACAAATTACATGTAAACGCATTAGCTTTTAACAGCGTAATACTCAGTAGAACTTTTGAAAGGGCTACTTTTTACTTAAACGCACTACATTTTTGGGCAAGTAATGATACTTTTACTTGGGTGTGAATTTTCAGTACTCTTTCTACCATTGAAACTGTTATATTTAATAATGTGTGGTAAAATATCTAAATTTAACTGCACTTTCCTTCCACTTTAATCATTTAGTATTTAAATCCTTAAAAAAAATTAGCAATATAAGCCTAGATGTTTGTTTATATCACAGCAAAGACTGATTCGTTCACAATTAATGCAAATAATCACCTTTATTCAAGAATGAAATGTACTCCAGTAGGATTCACACACTGAATTCAATACAAAAAAAATAAATACAATACAACATCAAGCATTATAAAATAACATCTGAAGTTAAATGCAACATCAGAACTCAATGAGATTTACAATTATAATTCAAAGCAGAAAGAAGTAGACACACACACTCTTATTCACTCATGCAGTAAAGAAGGTTGGTCTCAGCAGAGGGAGCTGATTTCTCCTTTACTGCAGCCCCATTTGCAGCAGGCGTTGGACAGTCCCACCACCACATCCCGTCCCTTTCTGTCTACGCTCCGCAGTGCCTCAAGCACCTCCTCTGAAATGAGAGAGCGAGCAGGCCTGCTGAACACGCTGCCGTCCTGTTCACCTTGTCCCAGTGGTGGGAGATTTGAGTCAGTGGCATGCTGGGAAGAGGAGGATGCTGAGCCGAACAGTACCGAGCCGTCTGCGGCATTACTGTCATATGAGTTGAACAAGTCCAGGATTTCATCTGTGCAACACAAGAGATGATGATTAATGTAAGAGTTGTAACCCAGGCAGCAAGCATCTTGATGTCTAAATGTCATCCAAAATGCAAATCGTTGTGATGTCAAAACAACATCAGACTGACATCTAACATTGGTATCAAATAACGTTTAAAAAAATCGATTACAGGACTGTCTTGTTATTGATTTTTAATGTGTGATTTCTTACACCAATTTTAGATGTCTGTTTGATGTCTATTTGATGTTGTTGGATTTGAAGCTTAACAAAAGCTTTCTTATATTATAATATTTTTGTGTCGTTATTTTGGTGATAAAATGTGTGGATGTCAAATAGACGTCAAGGTTTTGACTAAATCAATGTTAATTTAATCTTTATATGAAACATTTCTTATATTATAATATTATTGTGTTGTTATTTTAGTGGTAAAAAGATACATCAATGTGTGGATGTCAAAAAGACGTCCAGGTTTTGACCAAATCAATTTGCATTTTTGATATAAATTTGATGCCATTTTGACATCAATTACATGCATTGTAGAGATACAAACTCCAGTGTAAATTTGGAAGTCTAATATTATAATACTTTTTGTGTCGTTATTTTGTTGGTCAAAAAGACAATAATGTGCGGATGTCAAAAAGACATCAAGGTTTTAACATCAAAATGTCAACATTTTTGGCATGTTTTTTGATGTCAATCTCAATTTGATGTCATTTTGACATTGTTTACATGCATTGTAGCATACAAAACAAATCCAGTGTTAATTTGGAATTGAATATTTTAATAAAACTTTTCTTATATTATAATATTTTTGTGTTGTTATTTTTGGTAGTAATAAAGATATCAATGTGTGGATGTCAAAAAGACGTCAAGGTTTTGACTAAATCAGTTGATATCACTTTGATGTAATTTTCATTTCCATGCATTGTAGAGATACAAAATCCAGTGTAAATTTGGAAGTCTAATATTTTCATACTTTTTGTGTCGTTATTTTGTTGGTCAAAAAGGCAACAATGTATGGAGGTCAAATGGCCATCAAGGTTTTAACATCAAAATATCAACATTTTTGGCATGTTTTTTGATGTCAATCTCAGTTTGATGTCATTTTGACATTGTTTACATGCATTGTAGCATACAAAACAAATCCAGTGTTAATTTGGAATTGAATATTTTAATAAAACTTTTCTTATATTATAATATTTTTGTGTTGTTCTTTTTTTGGTGGTAATAAATGTATCAATGTGTGGATGTCAAAAAGACGTCAAGGATTTGTCTAAATCAATATGCATTTTTTATATCAATTTGATGTCGTTTACATGCATTGTAGTGATACACATTCCAGTGTAAATTTGGAATTGAAGCTTTTAATAAAATGTTTCTAATACTTTTTGTGACATTATTTTGGTGGTCATAAAGGCATAAATGTGTGGATGTCACTTGGACATCAAGGTTTTGACATCAAATCCATATGTATTTTTGGCATGTTTTTTGATATCAATCTCAATTTGATGTCATTTTGAGGTTGTTTACATGCATTGTAGCACATAAAATCCAAAGTAAATTTGGAATTGAAGCTTTTAATAAAACTTTTTTTATTTTATAATATTTTTGTGTCTGTATTTTGGTGGTCAAAAAGAGCATCAATGTGTGGATGTCAAATAGACATCAAGGTTTTGACATCAAATTGCTATGCATTTTTGACATGTTTTTGATGTTATTATCAATTTTATCTTTTTTTAACATCGTGGTGCTTGCTAAGAAGACAAACTATGGATCTCTATGATGTATTGTACGATACATTCAAAATAATGCTGTGTATGAATTTTATGAGTTCTATAAAAAAAAAGCGAATTAATCCCTCTGATACACTCAAAAAATGACTTTTTGTTCAAGCTACTTATTTAAATTGAGCTGAAGCAACACAATTATTGATTTTTTATGGGACAGCTTAATTGTTTTATGTTAAATCCAGTTAAATTAAAAAAAATAATGAGTTAACTCAATTCATTCATGTTGTCCTCTCAAACACAAATCAACTGTGTGGAACTCAGCATTTTAAATGAAAGACTATGTAAAACTAACCAAAACAAAGAATAAGTAGAAATATCTAGATAAATATCTGAACATCAGTTCATTTCTAATACAGGAAACAAAGTATTTAAAAATTATATATTTCCATTAAACTCTTCACAGATTTTATGAGTTCTATAAAAAAGCGAACTCATCCCTCTAAACTTAAAAAAAACACATTTACTCTTCTCTGTTCTGGCTACTTATTTAAAATGAGCTGAAACAACACAATTATTGATTTTTTTATGGGACAACTTAATTGTTTTATGTTCAATCAACTTGTCAAAACTAATGAGTTATCTCAATTCCTTCACGTTGTCCCAAACACAAATTGATTGTGGAACACAGCAATTTATATTAAAGACTATATGCAAAACTAACCAAAACAAAGAATAAGTAGATATTTGTAGGCATATTTTTGAAGGGCTGTCCATTTTTAATAAAGCACATCAGAGAAAAGGGTATTTTAAAATTATATATTTAACTCTATAAGTAAAAAGGTGAACTCTTCCCCTGCTCTGATACTCTCAAAAATGACATTTACACTTCTTTGTTCAAGCAACTTATAGAGCTTAGAGCTGAAACAAGACAATTATTGATTTTTTTTTTTAGTTTTATATTTAATCCACTTAAGTTTGCACTCAAATCAATTTCTTCATGCTGACCATAAAAACTAACCTGTGTTTGTTAAAGAGCGTTTCCATCGGGATCCTCCGCAGGTGAAGATGACAGCACGGATGAACTCCCTGCCGCATAATTTGACTCCATACGAGGGCCCGGCGTCCAGCGCCTTTACTCCAGCCAGCAGCAGACACACTACGAGAGCCGAGGTCTTCCACATCATACTGAGAGCAGATACTCACACACTGGTTTCCTGATGGTCTACCTGTGCTTTGGGAAGCAGATGCCTGTTGGATGGCGAAGTTCTGTGCTTTTTGCGGGTTTCCATGCCTGCTTATAAAGAGACAAGGGACACACAAAGCTCCCCAAGCAGACGCAGGAGTCACTGATAACCCTGCGAGATAAAGTCTGAGACCTTTCTGGAAACAAAAGCGCGGCCAGGAAAAGGTGATTGTGTAATTATGAAAGGCGTTCTGTGACATGAAGCACTCTTGCTCTATTTAAACGGATGATTCATATTTTATACATGATCATCAAGGCTGGATAGTTTACTTGCAACAATCTGTTGCTGATTTCAAATCATTTGATTATAATATGTCACATTACTCATTTTTGAACAAGTAATCTGACTTTTAGATTCTTGTTTACATTATTTTTTATAGGACAAACTTGCACCATGTTGATATAAAAGTGCAAAGAGTATGAAAATGTATTACGTTAAATATTATTAGTGTTGGGTAAAGTTACTTTAAAAAGTAATGTAAATAATCTTAAGTCTTTCTTAATCTTAATAAATAAATAAACAAACAAATAACAACATAATAACATAACAGATACTTTCACATTACTTTCCTTAAAAAGTAAGTTAGTAACACGTTTAGTCATTTTTTAAATGAACTTTACCCAAGAATGACTACATCAGAGATTTCATAATTGAGTGATGTGAAGGAAATGCAGTGGTTGTGTAAACTAACTTATTTGAAGTCATACAAATGTACTTTTCTAAACTACATAGCTTAAAAACTGTAATGATATCATAAATGACGACTCCAATTATGAAAAAACTGTCCTGCTTTGTGTTGTTGGTTATACCTTTGCTCAACTTCCCAGCACTTTTTAGTTCACTTGTATTGACTTTATCAGTTTATGCATTTAAAGTGATAGTCCACCTCATTTACTCCCCCTTCACTTGTTTCAGACAAAAAATATATATTCTGAAGAATGCTGGAAAGCAGAAGACATTGATTTCCAATATAATTTTTTCCTAATATTGATGTAAATGTTTGCTGGTTTCCATCATTCTTCATAATATCTTGTTTTGTGTTGAACAGAAGAGAGAAATACCTAAAAGGTGAAATAATGCCTTCAAATGCTTCTGTTTTTGGTCTTCTCAAAGCCTATTGAAGGCAAACCTGAAAGGATTTGCCTAAAAAGCAAAGTGTGTGTGTGTGTGTTAAATCATTACCTGCCATATACAGTATGTATGTTTTGTATTGCCATATGTCAGATGTACAGTTGAAGTCAGAATTATTAGTCCCCCTTTAAATGTTTTTCTCTTTTTTAAATATTTCCCAAATGATGTTTAACAGAGCAAGGAAATTTTCACAGTATGTCTGAAAATATTTTTTCTTCCGGAGAAAGTCTTATTTGTTTTATTTCGACTAGAATAAAAGCAGTTTTACATTTTTTAAAACCATTTTAGGACAAAATTATTAGCCCCTTTAGGCAATTTTTTTTTTCTGATAATCTACAGAACAAACCATCGTTATACAATAACTTGCCTAATTATTGTAAGATTTACCTAGTTAAGCCTTCAAATGTCATTTTAAGCTGTATAGAAGTGTCTTGAAAAATATCTAGTAAAATATTATTTACTGTCATCATGGCAAAGATAAATCAGTTATTAGAAATGGGTTATTAAAACTTTTATGTTTAGAAATGTGTTGAAAAAATCTCTTTGTCAAACAGAAAACAGGAAAAAAATAAACAGGGGCTATTAATTCTGACTTCAACTGTATATCGGTAACAGCTCTTTACATGACACAGCTATTTTGTGGATGGGATTTGAACCCTTGACCTTGGTGTTGTTAGCACATTCTCTACTTTTTGAACTCTTTCTTTATTTAAACTGATGAATCATATTTGCAGAATGACTAATTGTCCCGGTTATTTCATATAAACTGTAGTATCTTACTGTTTTCAAATAATGTAGTGACCTAATAAAAAGAAATTAACATAGAGTTGAATTATAAGCCCCCCTTTGATTATTATTAGGATTTTTTTAAATTCTTTCCAAATGATGGTTAACAGAGCAAGGAAATATTGACTGGCCTCTCGAGCAGTATGCTCAGGCATTCTGTCTGAATGGGGAAACATCAAATTCTACAAAAATGTTTGCCAATCTAAAGATTACATTACATATTTGGAATCAGCAATACAATTAAACAACAACTGCCTCATAAGTTTCATTTCTAAATGTCGAATCAAACAAAATCGAAATTTTCTCAGGTTGCCAAAGCTAATTGGCATGCACACTTGAAAGGTACGAGATGACGACACCAACTTCATTTATTATCATCCTCTGGATAATGATGGTCAGTTCACGCTGGTCTTCAGAAGTAATTCACGGCTTGTTCTTGATGGTGAATCTTCTTCAGAAATGACAGCGATGTCGGGGTAATAGCCTAGTGGTTAGCGCGTTGACATGGTTGCACTTCAGGGCGACTCGAGTTCGAATCCTAGCTTGAGGAGATTTCCTGTTCCTAACCCCCCCTCCCCCCACTTCACTTCCTGTTTGCAAATACTGGAAGTAAATCTAAAAAAATAATAATAATAATAATAACAGCGACTCTTTGTTTGTGGGTGTTTGAGTTTGGCAGGATGGACTGTACCTCACGTTCGTTTCATACAGATTACAAAACCAAGTGTATTTGGTTCATTTAAAGATTTCAAGCTTTATGTGGGTATATTTTTTGTATTTGTTGAGATTCTAGAGTGTTTGTTGACCACTCAAACCTGTCATAAAAATGCAAACGTCTGGTTCGAGCTTCTCCCATGGAGAAACATCAGTCTATAGCGATCGATAATTGGCTCCTGTAGTAGGCGGGGCTTCATTCGCCATATTGACTGTAACACTTTTGCCCATTCAAAACTATACGAGTGACAGGTTATGTGTCTTCTATACTCTTTGGTACTAGTAAGATGTTTCACCAGTATGAACTGGTTACCATGATATGGTGCTGCAATTACTAAGAGGTGGTTGCTTTGGCAATGTTAAACAGTTTCTATGAGTAAAAAAATGACAAAAATGTGTCCTGATTTCACCAAAATCCTTCATCTACCTTCATTTCAGCGATATTAATAATTTATATTTTCCCTTTTTCTAGACGTAGCGATGACTAGGGGTGGAGGTTAAGAGACAAAGAGATGTAGCTTGCATGGCATTTTCAAAGTGTGATAACACAGTCCATTGCACACGGGCAATCTTTGTGACCGCACGGACAAAGGTCGCCAATTTCCAAAATGACAACAGAATAATGAATTGTTAATGAATGCGATGATAACAACGACAACAGTATGACATTTCCACAGACATTAAACACATTTGACGTGTACAACATTATTTCTTTTCTCAGAAGCTATTAAGCTTTTTAAAATGTACACAAACTCCATACAAATGACTTGAATATTACGTATATTATCCAATAGCTTAAAAACAAAGTGAATACAAATAATTAATAATATACTACTACTACTACTAAGCTATATAATAAGAATTACAGTAAAAATGTTTAGATGATTTATTTTTTCATCATCACATACTAAGTAAAAGCAAGTTAAATGGTGTAAATATGTATTTCGTTTTAAAAAATATACAGTTTTTAATATTTAGAATTTCTATGTCTGTTGCTTTAATACATTTGAATGAAACAACACTATAGGCATGGGCCGGTATATGTTTTCTGACGGTTGGATAAAAATACCAGGTTTTTACGGTATCACAGTGTTGTGATTACTGCTCTAATATAAGTTATTTTTAAATGCCTGAGTAAAAAAAAAAAAAAAAAAAAATATATATATATATATATATATATATATATATATATATATATATATTTTTTTTTTTTTTTTTTTTTTTCCCCCATTGAACACAGTATATTTTATTTTAGGAAACATTTATAATATTTTATATTATAAACATATAATACATATATTAAACATGTCAGGCTAAATAGTTCAAATAAATAATTGACTTCTGCTTTCTTTCTTAGTTTATTCCAAATTTCCTTACAAGACATACAAGTACATTTAAAAAACCCTTACATATACCTTAGGAACAGAATAACAGAGTATTTTAGCGTTTTTTAAACACTGGCTTTTCCAAACCGAGGTAAACCTTGAAACCGGTTATATTCCCATGCTTAGACAACACAACTTTCATGACTGACACACGTTATCTTTTTTTTAAATTACACCTTCTGTAATGATCCTAATTTGTCTTTTTTTAAATAATTCATAGCCAAATATTTCAATTTAGAATTTTGCCTCTGGGCTGTCACGGTGGTGCAGTGGACAGTACAATCGTGTCACATGCAGCAAGAAGGTTGCTGGTTTGAGCCTCAGCTGGGTCAGTTGGCATTTCTGTGTGGAGTTTGCATGTTCTCCTTGTGTTCGAGCAGGTGCTCCGGTTTCCCCCACAAGTCCAAAGACATGCGCTATAGGTGAATTGGGTAACCTAAATTGTCCGTAGTGTATGTTTGTGAATGGGAGTGGGGAAAATGAATGAATGATTGAATATTTAATTATGTTAAAATTGTATTGGTTTAACTCTTACCAAAAATTGTGGTATAATAATACATAATACACCTATAAAGTTTGGTATTGGGGGCCTTCAGATTTTCTGGGGCTCTTACCTTACTTTTTGGTTAAATCCGCCCCTGAATACTACTACCAAAATACTACTACTACTACTACTAATGATGATAATAATAATAATAATAATAATAATAATAATTATATATATATATATATATATATATATATATATATATATATATATATATATATATATATATATATATATATATATACACTACAATAATAACAATTAACACGGAATCCTGTTTTGGCTTAGAAAGGCAATAGTTTGTAAAAATTAAATTCCTGTTTATTTCTAGCACTTTTACAATGAGATTGTGTTAAAGCAGCTTCACACAGAAGCAT